GGGGATGCCTTAGTTCCACGTGTCCTTGCGAAGGGGGGGTAAGGTTTAGGTGGAAGTTTGCGGGTAGGGGATACATAGCAGCGGGTTCCGCACTGGGCCTGCCTGTGGAAGTTACTAAAAAGTCGGCGTTGCCTCGGAGAAGGAACGGGGGACGCGAAAAGAGTAGGGTTCGGGTTTGTTGAAGGGTAGAGGTTATGATAGGGCTAGCCTTCAGGGGTAACAGGAATATGGCTTACACAACGGGCACTAGCTTCAAGGGGAAGGACGAGGACAACAACACCAGCAGCAGCAGCAGCAGCAGCAGCAGCAGCAGCAGCGTGATTTTGTGGATTGAAACAAACATGCCCGGCTTGTGCAAGGTTCAAACGGGACTAGGCCGACGCATTGTTTAACCAAACCTGTTTCTAATGTTTCGACCGAGAGCAAGTGGGCTTGTTTGGTACTCTCTGCATACTTCGCAATGCTCACAGCTACGAATGTGTAGCTCGTGCGGGAGATACCGCCTTTGCGCTCCAGGTAGTTGGTGTGCGCGTCTCACAGCACACCTGACGAGTGCGCTTCGCTTATCGAGAAAAAAAAGCGTTGACATCGCTGCACGGATAAAAGCTTGCCACGACACCGCTGTGCGCTTCCACGTCCAAACTTCCCGTCGCATCTACTGTCGTGCTGAAAACAAATTCCACCAACACCGGGAACCCGGGCAGCAAGCACCCGAAGGAGAGACAAGACACGCACTAGTTGGTTCGAGACTGCAACGCACGACACGACCAACTTGTTCTACCAACACTCGGTTAAAAACCACGCGAAGAAAACGAGACACGCAGCCACATTCGACAACAATGTAGCCGCGCGACCAACGGAACGGGATCGTCGCGGACACGTTGGTAGGTACCTGCGCCTGCTTCTGTAGGCTGTTGATCCACGCTCTCTTTCCGGCCTCGTCCTCCGCCCTAAGTCTCATGATGCCCATCGGGCTGTGCACCTCGAAGTAGTGGGCGTACTTCCCGTCCTTGTAGTCGAGATCCTTCAGGGGCAGCACAGCCGGCAGATAGGGAAAGAAAAACGCACCGCCCCGAAAGAGAGAGAAACGGAGAGACAGGCAGACAGACAGACAGACAGACAGACAGACAGACAGACAGACAAGAGAGGCACACAGAGGCAGACAGGCAAAAAGAGAGCCAGGGAGAGAGAGAGAGAGAGAGAGGAGCGGGATGGTGTCGAGCGAGGTTCGAGCGGCGTGAGTTTCTTTCTGCCGTTGCGCTGTTGCAAGCTCCGGCGCACGTTCGCCGGGGCATGGTTGAGAACGACTGGGCGCGAACCGCGTCCCAACGGCTTCAGCCCTATACTGACCTGTTGCACCTCCCTAGGTTGAGGGCAACAGGTATGGAACCTGCGAAGCGTTGGCGAGGAGACAGCAGGCTGTTCATATTTTGCGCCCCTTCCATTGTTTCTCTCTGTATGGGGGTATCAGCTACGATGCTGGCCATATGTGCCCCTGAACGCCTCGATCCCGTGTATCGAACTGAACAATCACAATGCTGTGCCACCGGCTCAACACATGGCACCATCCGATGTCCAACAGATGAACCGCGCCCTCGTACTTGTGCATCGAACAACGCCAGTGAAAAAAACGACGTTAGCCAACCGACACAGACCAACTCTACCAGGACACTGATGTCGCGCCAGCTTTGACGACGAGAAAAGACGCGCCAACTTTGACGACCAGAAAAGACGCGCCAAGTCTCCCTCGAGACAAACCGACGCCATGCGGTCATGTCTCTGACGCCTTGCGTGAAATGACGAGCGGGACACTACGGACACCCTTCATGCGGTCATGTCTGCGGCGTGTTGCATGCACGAACTGTATGAACTAGCTAGCGAACCTTGACGGAAGCCTGGTAGAGCACCGCTGCCCTCTTGATCTTGCTCCCCTCCTGCTCCTGCGCGTTGTAGCAATACAAGACCCTGTCCTCTACCTCGAACCACCTTCGGATCCACCTGTGAACAAAAGAAAAAGGCACACATTTGCCGCGTTGCGTCGGCTACTTTGCGCTCCAGGGCTCCTGCAAGCACCTCTCCTCATCAAAGGCTTAAGTGCACTTGCCAAGCACGCGCGCTCCTGATCAAAGGTTTGAGTACACTTCTCAAGCACGCCCAGCGCGAAGTATAGTCATCTCTGTGTGACCCGGGATAGTTGCTCTCTACTGGAGGGATGTGACTACATAGGGAGGGGGTGTACTCTCATTGTCGTGCATGCCGTAGTCGTTAGACCATTGACCTCGCATCCCTACAAGGCCGGGACGGAGCACGCCGGGTTCTTACCGGACCAGGCTCTCACATCACCCAGCGCGAAGCGCCGTGACTACATAGAGGGGGGGGGGGGGGGATATCGCACTAGGCGGAGAGGTGGCACCCCTCCTAGACAGATTTCAAAGCTCGACTGCTCCACGACCAAAATTGTGCCGACACCAACAAAGGTCGTGGTTTGGGAACATCTCGTCTCGTCGGGGGGGGTTCCGTAAAATCATCGGGGCCTTTCCCGCGCGCCCTTGGTTGAGGAGCAATCGACCTTTGAAAGCCGGTCCAGGGGGGGAGGGGGGGGTGCCATCTCTCCGCCTCGTACTTTTATCTGAAAAAACAAAATAATAACCGGCCTGCGCAAACACCAACCACGGCAGCAACGACTCGAAACAACACGGGTTGTTGTTGTTGTTGTTGTTGTTGTCGTTGTTGTTGTCTTCACCATTAAAATTCGTGGAGCGAGAGATTGCCTCATGGTTCTTACTTGGAACGATGCGGGAAGTCTCTCTTGTGCCACCTCTTGTGCCAGAGCCAACCCTTGATCCCGTGGTCCTCGGCGGTACTTTGGATAACGCCGCTCTTCGGGCTGCTGATCACCTGAACCATGCAAAACACGCCGCCGCCCACGCCGCGCGAATCGAGGTGGATCCCGTGCCGTAGCAAGAGGCCTCATTCCATCATCCCAACCGTACATCGTACACAGTTATCCCGCAGTAAAAAGTAATTATGTCGAAATCATGTACTTGAAAGGGGTTCCGAGGATGGGAACAGATTACCTGCAAAGAGGCTTGGAGAGAGCAGCCACGAGTGGCAACGCCTCCCAACCCTAACGGAGGGGGAAAGAAAGTACGCTAGAATGTAACATAGCATGTTTCAGCGGCAAAGCCGTGAGCACACAGCACCGCCGCAGCACCGCACGCAGTCGCCTGCCCTGTGTGACTGACGTCCCCCGAAATCTTGAGTGTCATTCTAGACACTAGAGCTAACCCGCACGATACGAAAATAGAGCTGTACACCACTTGCGCACCAGAAACATAGGAACGCCTACAGTGCGCAAGAACCGACTATAATAGGATTGTAGACACAACGCTTAAATCGGCCGTTGTTGTCGACAACGCCGCGGGCGGGAGGAAGTCGCCTTGCCTACATCGCGGGGACATGCGACGGAACGCGATCGTCTGCAGAACGCCGCCCCACTCACCTTCGAATGCAGGTCTCCGCGAAATGTGTTGTACGTACATGCAACCAAGCAACCAACTCCTAGCCATTGTTGCCGGTAGGTAGCGCATACCAAGCCAGCCACTATTGCAAAAACTCCAAGCCATTGATTCGCCTCTCACATGTGCTATTTAGCCGCAAAAAACTCTAGCTCCCGTGGTCACCAAGCCAGGCGCCAGGAATGCTAAACAAAATGCTGGGATGGTAAGGAAAGGGGCCACCCTGTCGAACGTACACCCTATGACACCGGTGCCGAGATTCCTCCGCTCATTGCTCACCATGCAAGCCCAAGAGCGGGCTGCCACTACCTCACAGTACGCAAGGGCAAGGACACACGCCCACACCTCCACAAAATACGACACCCGATGGGGCAAGTTTCATGGGTCAACATGAGCCCAAAACACAAACCCGCTCTCAGGTCCAGGCAAAAAGAAGGGCGACACAAGGCACCACGCCCAGCACACACGCAGTGAATACACCAGGTCATGAACTTTCCAAGCAGGCCAATACGCCACCACCGGCGGTGAATTTTCTCGTGTCCAATACGCCACAGTCCCCTTATTCCTCACCTTTTCTGCTTGCCTTCTCCTTTCCGCGATGGTCCTGGTTTGCACCTCGTGCCTGCTAAGCTTCCCTGTCTTGTACAGCTCTTCCAGACCCGTGGCAGACGGGGGGCCAAGGGCGATGATTCGCTCCACATTCTGCCGCACAACGCACGGGCGTTTTTCATTGGGTATCTCGGTAAGCATGCAAGGAGGCAATAGCAGAAGCAGTAAGAGAACAAGCCGCGCGACGTGCGCGTTTTTCCCTTGCTGTAAAAATGCGTACGCTGCTGCAACATCCGGAGGGGCGTGCTCGCCCCTTTCGAAAGCGGGCAACACGCGCGGGGTCTGTGCGTTTGCGGGAGCGGCGGCGATGGATGCACCCGAAGGTGTGGAGCCTCGATGGCGCTGTTACACAGTATGCGCGATAAAACCACCGACTATCATAATTGTACTACGAAAAAATGTTACGGAGATCGTTGGGAGATCGCAGAGCTACGTGCTGTTCGAACCTCGAGCGTGCCATACATGCTGTCTCTTCAGGTACACGACATCCTTTAACCGTTACCGTATGTTTGTGCCCCTCTTGTTCACGAAAAGCAATACGTCCCTCTCGACGTACGCACAGCCGGCATTCTCTTCATCACACCTGCAGCAGCTTGGCGCATCTGTTGAAGTACAGCGTGTTGGCCTTCTTGTTGCGGCTGCCGTCGGGAAGCTCTGCGTGGTAATCCTCCAACGCGGCCACCAGTATCCAGTTGAGCTGCAGAGCCACGTGAAGACTTGACAACAAAAAGACAGAATCACACAACAAAAAAACAAAAAGTTTGTGAAGGGGCCGGAATACTGCTGTTGGCGTAAGAACTTGGTTCACTCTGACTGTCATAGTTCCGTGAGAACAAGTGTGCGCGGGAGATGTGTTTTTTCAGCCACAATCGGGAACGCAGCGAAAGCACAACCGACAACAACTCGCGCAAAAATCAACGTTTCGTGTTTGCGGAGGCGAGACGGTGTGGCAAGGCCATAAAGAGCAGGTGGGCGCCTGGCGTACGCGGATAAATCCGGCCACGGCTGGCGGGTGATTTGAGTCACGGGGCAAGGAATGCGCACATGAGATGAACGACACATGCGGCGAGATTACACTAAGCTCCGCCAATAGAGCTAGCTGATGTGAGAGGCGCAACGAAATCGGGAGTACGATCGTATGCATACATAGGTGGTGACGAAATGGTGCAACGAACACAAAAGCGGAGCCGTGTTTACAAAGGCAGCGCATCAAGTCACCAACAGTAGTCACTTTTACTCTTTGGTTTCAAGAGCCTTGAACCATGGAAGATCCCAGGACAGCAAGCGCTTACAACACAAAAAAATTGTCACTGCCGTTGTGCTTCTTCGTGTCAACTGTAACACAACCTACGGACTTTTGGGTGTGCTCCTAATCAGCAAGCAAAACAAATTCAACCCCAGCTTGCCGGCCGGCCCTCTCGAAGCGCATCTTCTCTCACCTCTGCTGGCAGACGACGAGCGCGAACTGCTCCAAGGCGGATGACGGCAGGTGCACGTCGAGGTGGATGATCATGTGCGCGAGCTGCGGGAGGTAGAACTCGATGCCGTTGAACACCCGACGCTCGTTCGAGTTCTGCCACGCAGGGTTTTATTATCATCGCGCGCCGCGTCGGGAGGCGACGGTCATTATGGACAAGGTCGATGCAGACGCACACGAAACAACTGCAGTCGTTGAGTCGTCTTGCTGGGAGTCAGTGTCCCTGCTGCTGCGCGCAAAACCTCGCCCTGTTTTTTCTCCACGGCTGTGCGAGGCTCGAAACAACACCGCGATTGAGCGGAAGAAGCGTGTATGCCCTGGAGGCTAATATGTACTCCCCAAACCCAAAAACAATTAATTAAATCAAACACCCCTGTATATAAATTCTTTCATTATGTACTCCCCAAACCCAAAAACAATTAATTAAATCAAACACCCCTATATATAAATTCTTTCATTATGTACTCCCCAAACCCAAAAACAATTAATTAAATCAAACACCCCTGTATATAAATTCTTTTATATGTACTCCCCAAACCCACAAACAATTAATTAAATAAATCAAACACCCCCATATATTGACATTGTGCAAGTACTTTGGAGAGAGGTTTGGGGGCCGACTGGAGGTCCTCCGGTACAGAGCAACGACTGACCTCGATGAGGAGCTCGACGATGGTTTCCACGATGTCGAAGCGTTTCCTGTTGACCCAGATCAGGGTGGTAACGTTCCGCATGTCGAGATGCCCATTCTCGTCGATCAGCTTGTTGAAGATGCTGATTGGTCGATATCGACAGTCCCGAATGACAAAGGAACAGTCGGTACGGCAGCAGTAGGCGAAACGAACAACCACCGTCAAAGATAGCATATAATCGTGTATACGGCTGCATATTTAACTGATGGCATCATGGCATTGCTCGGTGGCGGTTGTTGAAAGTGTCAAGTTTCAATACCGCAAGTGTGGGCCGATCATTTTTCTAATGTTCTTTCATCTCCCGCCTAAATTTATATTTGGCCGCATTCTGGATGGCTGGGCTATTTGCACTGCTGTTCGGTATACTACCATTAGGGCCACGCAAAGGGATCGGCTACTCAATTGTCCTGGGAGAGGTTCAGCGATCCCAGGGTCAAACCAAGCTGGGGGCTGCACAATTTCAAACCCCATCGAATGCTTCTTCTGACGGGCTGTAGAGGTATTTACGGTATGAACGAGCTGTGTTTCCGAAGCCAGGCCAGTACAGCAGTACAGCGGCATTCCATGCTACGGCGAGTGTTCGGGCGCTGCGTTTCAGACCATCGGAAGGAAACACTACGACAGGCCACTATTATGCAAATATCCTTACAAGGTGACACTAAATGGACAGCAAGCAGTGCTCCCGTAGGCATGCACATTGTAGGATTTTCAAATAAATGTAATAGGCAGGGCAGTGAGTGAACAACGTCGCGGTTCCAAGCTCGTCTTCAGGAAGGATGAAAGGTCATGACATCGGGGAACGCGCAAGATTGCTGCTGGACACGTTGTAGCTTGCAAAAGGCTAGTACCACAGGCTTGAAGGGGCAAAACAATGCAATTCCAGCAGGTTTCGATCATTGCGCCCGGGGTCATGTTTTCATTTTGTTGGGGGGCTGCATGCTGTCTTTATGCTGCCATTGTATGATACATGTGCTACATCTGCTGCATACGGAAGGTGCAATTAGTCGACGACGAGACTGCTGTACCATGTACGGAGTACTTTTTAGAAGAAAAATCGCGAATGTGCACAACGCGAGCCTGCAGAGGGTGGAGGGTCTTGCGTGGATCGTGCGGTTCAAAACACTTCCCTTTTTTGCATCTCCCGTTCCTCTCTGTGTCTGCGTATCCCGCGTAAGGGCCTCATGACTATACCATCAACGGTGATACCCCAATTTTATCTCCCTACGTTAGACTGTCAGGAAAAATAAGACAACCACAGAAAGCCTAGACTATGTGCGTTACACTCCTACAGGCAGTATCGTCTAAGCGGGGTCTCTTCAACACGGAATATTAGTCTAGTCTGTACGTCGTAGGCCCGAGTAAATGTTCTCAAGGCGTGCAGCGGGACTTGTATTTCAGCGGAAAACGGATACAGACAAACAGCATCGGTCCTAGCTTCGTGGTAGCGGCTCCCGAAGCGACCGCAAAGCGCAAGTCACGCATTCACGCACCCTGGCATAAACCAAAGAACGGCTCCTGGGGGGCAACCGCAACACCTATGCCACCCAGAAGAGCAGCATGAACAGGGAAGTAAACATTCAAAAACACAAAAAACACGCTCGCGGGGGAAATGATTGCTCGGCGATGGTCCTCCACTCACGACTAATAGGCTACTCACTCCTTGAGCTCCTCCGACATGGCCTTCTCCGGGGTTGATACGCTCAGCGCCCGCCGTCCGTTCACACCAGCACCACCCGCAGATTCATCGTTTCCAGCAGGTGTTATCTTGAGGCCCGCAGTCGTAGTATCGCCGTTCATCGAAGCTTCAGCAGCACCAGCACCAGCACCAGTAGGTTGTTTGTCGGTGCCAACCACGGCGAGGCCCGGTGCGTGGGCAACGGTGGCCATTGCTAGAGAGGCAGAGGGAATGCACCCTTACCTTCCACTACGTCCGTTCGCGGGGTGTGTTCCAAGCCTGTATGTTGGGCGTTCTGTATCACCAAGAACAAGTCTGATAGGAAGAGTGTAAAAACTGCTGCCCGAGATGGCCGCTGCGTTTATCAACAGACAGCAGCAGTTTGGACAGCAGCCGACCTCTCCCTATCTTGTGCACAAACCAGTCGCCCCGTACACTGCAACGGGCCAAGTCTCCAGATGCCGCCGCTAGGTAAACGGAGCGCCAGAGCACCTGGGGTCGCAACCCGTCCTCTTCTTGTGTGCGTTGTGTTCTTCTCTCGATGATGGATGAGGTCCCGCTGCTGTGCTGTTTCCGCCGCCCCTGCCTTGGTCCTGGGTCCCCCTGGTCCAGGGCGTGACGTTGCATACACCCCGACTATCTTCCAGCCTGCGTTTCCCCCCTCGATGATGTGCCGGAGCCAAACTGCAACTCAAGCCCACCGCACTACACAGAGGACGAGCAGGAGGAGCACAAGCCTTCCGCCACCGCCACCCAAATAAGCTTCGATTTTTGTAAAGGTTTGTGTTATGGCAGGTGAGTTAAGCCGAGGCTATGAAACACGCCGTGAGGTATGTAGCATAGAGCGGGAGGTTTTCTCGTTTTCATGTCAAGTGCGGAAGAAAGAAGATGGCAGCGTGGCCGAGCAAGGAGGTACATAGTTCAGCCGGGGTGCAAAACAGATGCTGGTAGTGAAGTTCAGGACCGAGGAAGACACACTTGCGTAACGTCTTGGCTGGTTGGCGTCGCTGGCGATGTGTGCTGCGTTGCTGTACAAGAAGAGAGTATTTTTTTTATTGCAAAAATGATGTGTTGATGTTGCCAATGGCCCTTTGTACGACAGCGTGCCAGTTGTACTCAGGCGCGTTCAACGCAAGAGAAGTTCAACCTGTTGTTGGCCCGGGGAGCAACAGACAGGGCAACCAAAGCGGTCATTAGTTTCACTAGCTAGAAACCGGGATCCTGTTGAGACTAGAAGCGCGTCTTGCTGTTGTGTACGTCCTAGCGCGCGTGGGCAGCATTGTGGAAATATGGGAACTCGAAAAATGAAGCAGATCCCCCCGCGGGCTGAAATTGGTCTGTTCCACAGCAGCTGCGAACACGCCCAGAAAAGCAAGGCGACCTATTTACTTGAACTCGATGCACTAGTTACAAGCCTGCACGTTTAGTCGACGTGCTGCCTCCCTCGTCCCCCTGTCTCTCACCGCTGTACACGGGCACGCGTTCTTCTTTTTTGTTACCCGGTGCAACCGCGGCTGTAGCATCAGTTCTGCGGTGCATAATGTATATATTCCGTCTTTGCCCCCGTACGTTTACATGCACAGCAGCTGGATCAAATTCTTCTCATTTAGACGCGTCCTTATCTCGCTACATGATTCATACCTCCATCCAAAAATTCCTGGCACAATCATGCGTTGTGGCACTCTCCTCGTTTTTTGTTGTCGCCGGCAGAATTTGCGGCAGTGCCTGGCACGCCCATGAAGCCGAGCAAGGGCCAGGATTTAGAGCACCCGGTCACGGACCTCGAAGCGGTCAGGTCCATCCTCGTGCAGGGGCTTCCGCTGCTTGATCAAGAACTGACGGAGTCTTCCATCGTCCAGGTGTGGGACGCGACTCGCCGAATGCGTCTCCTTTTACCATGCTGATCATCTGCTTTGACGCATGCGTGGGTACAATAGTCGATTCTGCGGTAACGTTCTCTGGTGTGGTGCGCTCTCGTGAAACAAAGGCAACGCGGAGATTCTCTCGCTGTCACGGAACTCCGGGCGGGCGTTCTGAACGCACGAACCGTGACGACTGTTGTATGCAGCTTTGCTGTCGTCTGGAATGGCGGTAGTACCAATTGACGATAGAGATTCTTGTGCATTGGACTGCGCGGGTGTGTAGCGTACTCGGGACGCCCGATTTGCAGGAGAGGAAGGCGGCCGTGGGTTTTTCGGTGGGGAAGGCGGGAGGTACTCTTATGTTTTGCATGCCTGAGCGGTTAGACCATTGACCCCGCGTCCTCGAGAGGACGGAGGTGGGGGCGGTGGGCATCTTGACTGGACACAAAGAACGTGCCCGCCACGGCGATGGCAGCTTGTAGACAGTCCACGGCGGTGTGCGAGCTTTTGTTTAACGGGCGCTTGTTTTCAACAACGTTTTCCAAGTCGGTTGTCCGAGTCTCCGACATGTCGGCGCTGCTACGGTAGTTCACCAACACTCCTACTGTCTGCGACTCCTTGCTGTGTTGCACCCAGGTCTTCTCGGCGTACGGGGAAATCTCCAAGCTTCTCCTTCAGACGAACGAAGAGAGTGAGTGCTACGAACTATGAAATGTGCAGGCTGGTCAGCAGAGGAAATAGCGCCAGGAATACGATCCACCTCTTGCAGACGAGGAGAAGATGTGCTATGTAGGATCACCGGGAGACATGAAGGCTGGTCAGCAGGGTTTGTATTTTTTTCGCGCACAAAGAACATAACATTTACGGACGAAGAAGAAGACGTGCTGTGTAGGGACACCCAGGAGAGATGAAGGCTGGTGATCAGCTGGAAAAACTCCGCACCGCCCTCTGATGTGGCTGTTGCCGCAGAGTAGTAACGCTGTAAATCCAAAGTTTCGCTAGAGACAGCAGCAGTACAGCATACCACGTACAGCAGAAGGGCAATTCTTGCAACCTTTCGCGGGGGCACCGGGGTTCAGTTTGGACACACCTCTTTTAGCAGCTCACATTCGCGTCGCCACCTACCAGATGTACCGTCGCCGTGTGGATTGTGTCGCGGGACTCATCCAAAGTCCTTCGAACCTGGATGGCCGCTCTCTCTCTCCTGGTTGCAGGCAGAACGCAGAGGGCTGTGCTGGTGTTCGCCGATGTAGCCGGTGCTACCTCTGCTCTGCAGGTACGACGGGTGCTTCCGTGGGGCGCTGTTTCCAACCAACGCCGGTCTCTACGGATACGTATTTGGTGTGAAGCAGCGTTCCTCGGCAAGCGTGCTAGATAGTCCTCTTTTTAAGGTTTCCGGGGAAGGCAGTGTTTCGTGGTGTTTGGGGTGCGAGACGGCGGGTTATTAGGATGGAGATTGCCTGTCTCAACGTTTTCACAATTGGACGAGTGTGAAGACTGTCATTATACGAGCGCCACGCGTAGACCTTATATGCGCTGATGCCAACGATTGTGCCCTTCTCGCGTACGCAAGAGCTCAGCGTTCCCAAGGAAACAAGCAGTGCAGTCAACCCGTCGACCGTTCGTGGGAGGAGAAGAGTCGTGATGTTGGTGTTCACCGAGTTTCATAGTCACCGCACGCCGCGCGTATTTTTCGTTGGACAGCAGTCCTCCACTGCTGTTTTCTTTTGTTGCTGTTGCGTTGGATGACTCGGTGTCGGCCGATCGAACCGCCGCGGCGTCTGGTTCTCGTGCTGGCATCTTTTTCCCCGGCCTCTCTTAATTGCTCCCACACCCTGCCGCTGATGTTACCGTCGGATACTGCTATCGTTCTCTGCTGCACCGGTGCCGATCAGGCGAACGGCCGCGACATCCTCGGAGCGAACTGCAGCGTGAGCTTGGCTTCGTCTATGCCCGCCTTGAACGACGGGTTGGACCGCGACAACGTCAGCGATCAGCCTGCCGCTGTGGGTGAGGTCTAGCTAACCCTCCTCCTCTGCTCTCCGTGGTCATATTCAACGCCTCGCATGGAGACACCGCATAATGTTTTTCTTTCAACGCAAAGACAGGTGTACATACACGCGCGAGAGAGGTCTTTTTTTTTTCTCGTGTGCCGATTGAGACTCGCCGAGCTATGAATCGTCGATCGAAAGATTACGTAGAAGGCACGAACCCAACATGCGGCTGTTGGTCGACGTGCCTCCTTTTCTCGTGCGTACATTCGGCTACACTGGTTTACAAGGGGCATGCAGCACCAGCGCTGGCTGTGGTACCAGATAATGCTGAGCCCCCTTCTTGTGATTTATGTCCGATTTTTCGTATTTTTGTTGTTGAGAGAAGGCGTGTACACGTGTTCGTCGGACTTGTTGCCGCATGATGGACAGCTGTGTCTTGTGTGCGTTGTGGAGTGTAACCACTTTGACACCGCAGTTTCTCCAATGTCCGTTACCCATTCGTTTTTTTCTTTTTTCGGCCTTTTTACGTGGCATTTGATTTGGTCTTGACTGAATAATAGGTGGTATGGAAGGCCGAACGCTGACCACCGCAGAATGGATCAAGGGCATCTTCGCCCAGGGCATGGTGTACACCCGCTTGTTCGACGAGAAACTCGGCGTCTCCTCGACCGCCAAAAGTATCGCAGCAAAGGTGGGGGCTGGTTGCCGACTGGCTTGGAGGTTCAGCTGCTGGAATCTCTTGCGCGACAGGGGAGAGGCGGCGAGATTGGCACCTTTCGCCGTTGGTCGTTTTTTGGTTTAACGAGGTCGTACCGGAAATAGTCTTGTGTGGTGGACGCACACTTGTGGGCTACAGTAGGTGGCCCGACATTGTGGCACTTAAGGGGCAAGAGGAGAACATGCTACTATTCAGGGCAGTGCCACGTCGGGTTAAGATTGTGCCAAGAGATTTTGATGGCGCTACATCGGCAGTTCCGCTACTCAAGTTGCCACCATATCGGGCCACCTACTTGTAGTGAACGACGAAAAAGGACGGGTTTCCGAAGAGTGCATCTTCCTGTACATGACAACGAATGGCAATTTTCCAGAGTACATGGTCTCTTCAACGACAACAAACAAGGTAGTTAATCCCTGGTCTACTTCCTGCTGATTGTCGTTCGTCGCCGGTGTTTACTGTTCAGGTGCAAACCCAGGTGGAGCAGATAGACGAGAAGCACAACGTGAGCGGAAAACTCGCTGCGGTCGCCTTCACCGCGCAGGCGAAAGTCCAAGAGGTCAACACCAAGTGAGTCGCCAGGTTCCCTTTCGCTTTGTAACCTTCCACGTTTTCGGACGTCCTTCCACGTCCGAAAACGAGTCGAACCCCAAGGATACCAGTGACGACAGCGACCGCCAGGGTGGTAGTAGCGAGGAGGAGGGCCAGCTGGTTCGAGGACGATTGATCCCCTCTTCTCACAGGGGAGAGAGTCGAAGCGTTAGGGATGTTGCTTGTATCATGATTTTCTTTTTTTGGTCTCAAGGATCGCCCCCGCTGCTTCTTGTGTGTCGGGGTTGCCCTGCGGTGCAGGCTCAAGGTGTCTGAGACCGCGTCGAAGTGGGCACACTCAGCCAAGGAATCGACCGATAAGGTAAAGCCATTGGTCTTCTCCTCGTGCCAGTTGTGTTGTTTTGCTTCTCCTCTCCGGTGCCACCCCCGTTTGCTGTATTGCTGCAGACCCCCAGCGTTACCTCCCCCCTTTGCCTGTTGGAGCGGAGCAGAACCGACCGCGGTGTTAACCCCCCTCTATCGTCGAGTAAAAAGTGGGTGTTCGTTTTTTTTGTTCCTCCGGCGGGCTGGACACGATATAGCCCTTTCGGCCGTCACGCTCTCCCGACCGTTCGGTAGTGCTGGATGGGTTAGCGGTTCGACATATCCTCTTGGTTGCTCAGAATAAGTATGTAGAACGGAGTGTGGTCTCTGTGCTACAATCACGGTAGCTTGGGATAAGACTGATCGGGCTTGTTTGTTTAGTTCCTGAATGAACGCTTGCAAACGCTAGATGCGATGGGCGAAGCGCTCCAAGGCACTGAGTAGAATGCTGGAGGTCCTGTATTTGCTATGCAGTCCTGCTCGGAGCGGGAAAAGAGACTTGTACGATTACGAGAAATATTTGGGCCGTCGAGAGATGGCCACCTTCAACGCTTGATCAAGCGCGCACTACAGTACACACCACTCACACCGCGACTGCTAGTAGGCCAGGCTCACGCTCAGCACCGTGCCCGCACCCGCACCCTATACCCGCAGGCCCTCGAGAGCAACCCCCGCGTCGCCGCCGGCGTCCACCAAGCAGGGGATGCCATCGGCAGCCTCGTAAAAAGCGTAAGCGGGTTGGCGCACCAGGCCATGGGGCAGCCGCAGGAGATGGCAGGCCCGGTACCCCCGGTACCCCCGTCCGCAGTTCCGGCAAACACCGCCGGCGGGACCTTCGGGATTTCGGAGTCGGACACGAGCGCGGGGGCCCCGCCGACGAAGCCCGTCTAAGCCCGTCCCCCACACACCTTCTTTTCATTGCTTGCATCTCTACGTAGCTTTTTCAGTGTCTTTGTGGAAGTTGTGTAGCTTTCCCGTTCCGTGCGTGATGATTTGAGTTTTTTAGTCCCTTCTTGCTTTCTCTGTCGTCTTGCAGTCCATGTGTTTTTGTGTTTTTCGCGGCGGAGACAAGCCGTCGGATAGCTCATCGAAGGGGGCTGCCGGGAGGCACGGGATACCCCCATACAGGTCGCCACATCTCGGGATGGTGGTTTATTTTGTTGCTGCGTGCGGCGGTGGGGCCTCTGTTGTCTTTTCCGTCGACGCCGAGTGTGAGTCGTCGCCAACCTACTTGGTTTTTTTCGTATCAGCGTGTCTGGGGGTTACACCCACCCTGTTGCCGTGGTGTTGTGATGTCATGTCGAAGAGCACGCAGTTTCCTAGACCTTCGGCGAAAGGGTGCGGTTCCTTTCGGCAAGTATTTTTCGCCCCAAGAAACTAGCGGGTATGGTGCGAGTACCCACTGAAAGGCGGAGTTACAGGCGGCCGAGGACAGTCATCTCAGGAAAAGTTTTTGGTTGTGTAGGTTGTGGAAGATGGGGCTGGTTTGGAACACTGGGCGACAAGTTTTTTTTTTTCTTCGTCGTTGCTTTGACGGCAGGTTGGACTGATTTTGACACGCCCGTGTGGTCTGTGCTTGATGGACCCCGGGCACTGAGTCGAGGTCCATTTGCTGCCTTTGTGGAGCGCGCTTTCGTTTTCGTGTTGGGAGGCTTTGGTCGTTCATCTTCTTGTGTGTAACGATATTTATCGGTTTGTAATTAAGTGGCCTTGGATACTATTTTGGGGATGATAAAAAAAGTTCCGGAGGAAGGATCGCCTCTTCCCTATACACGAAGTTAAATGCGCAGAGAGGCCGGTCTTGAATTTATTCACGCACGCGATGATGTTGGAAGTCGATCATCATTACTGCAGAGTCACGTTCGTCAGTCAAGAAACACTCAAGCACCACCCATGTTTTTGTTCGACGATCTGTGATGTAGGACCGACCACAAAGCTAAAAAAGGGGGAAGGTTGATCATGCGCCCTCCCACAAGCAACGAACCGAAATAAGCGGTGCTCTTCTTCCTAGACAAAGCCGAGTGAACCGCCCTCATAGTTGAAACCCCGGTGGCCCGTTGACAGCTATCCCCGTGGCGTTCTTTTGGATGTGAGGATCTGTGATATGGGACCGAACACAAGACTACAACGGGGATGATTTGACCATGCGCCCTTCCACGAGCAACAAGCTACAAAAGCCGTATTGTTCCCACACCAGGCTGCGAGTGAATCTCGTTCCATTGTTGAAACCCCAGTGACAGCTATCGCCGTGCTCTCGCCCGCAGGTCGACCCTGTCCAGCAGCTCCTGCTCCCTTCGCCGGTTTTCGTCGTCCCTCTTCTTCTGGAGAGCCAGCTGCCTCTGCGCCTCGGCAGCCCTCTCCTCCCTCCGCTGCGCCTCCCGAATCCTTTCCTTGCACCTCCGGCTGTCGGTGTAGTGCAGAGCGTCTCGCCCCCTGTCATCCTTGGCATGCAAATCCGCTTTTCGCCCTATCAAAAGCTGCGGCGCCAAGGTATGGTGGAGGGGTTGTGGGCTCATCGTCAAGGGTCATGACCATCACCTGGTCCTCGGGAGGGAGGTGGTGGAAGCTTTGCCTCAGCAAGTGCCTGGTTTTTTGGGCGGGCGAGCGAAGACACAGCGTATGTCTGCCTCGTGTCTACATCCGACAAGACGCAACCTTGTCTTTTCCCCTGACCGACAACAGCCTATTTTCACTCCCGCCCCGACACACCAACCAACAGCGGTGAGGGTGACGGCGTTCTTGGCCTGTCCTTGCCGGAATAAGGAAAAAACGAAAAAACTGCCTGCCCTCCATGGCGGGCTCAGACCAGTACGATCTCAGAACGCCTTACCCGCGCCGTCTATAGGAGAAGCCCCGTCGTAAGCAGTTCCATTGTTCTGGCGAAATAAATCACCCGCGGGCTAGATACACTCTTCATGTGAGTTAGTTGTCAACCCACGAAATAACGAAAAACGCAAAAGGTGGGAAAGCAGACAATCATGAAGTCGTTGTTTTTTCTCACCTCAACAATGACGGCTCGCTCCTCCTTGGCAGCCAGGTGTAGGGGACGATGCCCTTTGGGACCTATTGCGCCGATGTCGGCGTGGTGGTCCAGCAGGAGTGTTGCGGCCTTCTCGTACCCGCTAGCGCAAGCCATGTGCAGGGGTCGCGTGAGCCCGTCAGGCATCGTGGCCTCGACGTCGCACCTGCGAATAAGGTTGCCACACACCCCATGTTGTTGTCACACGTCGTGTGGGTCGGTGTTGAGCGGTCTTGGTCTACTCGAAAGCGGCGTGCCTGGCAAAGCTGTGGGGGTTAGGAGCGATCGACCCACGCCGACAAAGGCATGACTGCACGCGGTCGAAAAAATGTCGTCGCTGTGAAAAAACATAAGTTTTCATTAGATTGACGAAGCCAGACCTGTCAAAAGTGAGGTGCTCGAGCTTTGAAAATACGTTAAAGCACATTTTCAATACTAGTTCGCTTGCGACTGGCGTCGGGCGGGCAAGCGGTCCAACGTGCGTTAACGCAACCGCGACTGATAAACCCCCGCACCCGTGCTTGAGCAACTCCCGTATGACCTCCAGCCTGTTCCTTTGGACGGCCAGGTGCAGGCTCCTCATGCCGTTCTTGTCGGCTGCCTCAACGTCCACGTTCCCTTCGCTGAGCAAGAACTTCACCACCTGCCCCCAGTTTCCGAGACACGCCACATGCAGCGGCTCGTGCATGACCTTCGCCCGGGCGCGACTGTCAGCTCCTGCCTTCTCGACCAATAACCTTGCGGAGTACATGAGGTCACAAGCATCGTCGTCCGGCGATCGCAGTGCTGAGTATGACGTGGATGGTGGTCTTCCCAAGGAGCAAAGGCGGGTGGTGCTGGCACTGAAGGAGGGCAAACAACTGAGCAATATCAGGGTTGTCTTCTTCTGGTGCTGAAATCGTAACTAAATACATGTGAGCTCGTGTCACGATACCTCCGACAGCATGTGTCTGCGTATGGGGTGAAAACTGAGCTAGCACGAGCACATTGCACAACTTCCGATCGGGGGCAGGACGCTCACAACACCTGTCACCCTTGGTGACTCAACAGGCAGTGTTACCCACCGAACCGCGCAGAAGTGCGTATGTCGTGCAAGCACGATGGTGAACATCGCGAGACTCTTCATCCAACCTCCTGACATTGAACGGCGCAACTCCTGAAGTATAGCTAAAATCCGAAGTGCTTGGGGGGGGGGTACCTGACTATTTCCAGGCGGCCCCGCTCGCAAGCACGATGGAGTGGCGTCTGCTTGCGTTTCTCAGTCGCGTTCACGGTGGCTCCGAGCTCCAAAAGCCTGGACACCGTGGCGATGCTTGCCTATCGCACGGGCGGAAACCGAAACACGTGTAGTTCAGACAGGTGGTCCGTAAAATCGACAGCATCTTCGTCCCAACGGTACACCGACGTTTCGGATACGTGGTTCTCATGGCGTAAACCTGTACTACAACAGTTTTCGTTGCTAAACTTTCCCCATTCTCCTGGATCGCACGTCGCCGAGAAAAAAAAACAATCTAGCAAGTGAGCCTAGTGAGATTTGTAGTGCGAACCGTGTTCCGCACGACGGCGACAACGGGACCTCACCGGGTTATCTCCAAAACGGCGGCGGTGGTCAACGAGAATCCTTGATCCATGTTCACGACACAACCACTGCCACCAGCGCAGACATCGACATATGAATGAAAATTCTCTATCCATGAGACGGCAGCTCACCTCCTCGCAGGCTCGATGCAACAGCGTGCGTTGCGCGGTGTCCCTGACGTCAATCGACCCGCCGATCTCCAGCAGCTTGTCAACTCCGCTCATGTTGTCGTGGCACACTTGGATGTGCACCCGGCGTTTGAGCGACCCAAGCTCTGGCAGGGGGGTGTCGGGCCAAGAGCACGTTGAACCACCGGTGTGTTTCAGCCTACACAACACGAGCGTGGCTTGAGGTGCATATCCTGCTTAGTTCCTGGCGTTAATCTGTTACGGCCCGAACGACTCCGGGGGTGCGCCACGACATTACTTACTGGTGGGGATTCCTGTGCTACTTTATTCAAACGACGAAGTTCGTTCCGAGAGAGAGAGAAAGAGAGAGAGAGAGAGAGAGAGAGAGAGAGAGAGAGAGGGAGAAAATAGAGAGATGTACATGCTGTTCGGAAGTATCCCGCGGGGCTGATCTACTGGTTGTACTTGAGCATATTCTACTGTAGTCGCAGTCTACATGAGGACGATATACCCTTGAGCTGCTCGCTTCGACGAAGCGAGTCCGCGATCTGGTTTCCTGGTTCTTGGTCACGGCAGAGATCGAATGGCGTTCTCCCGCATACGTCTTCGCTCCTGTTCATGGCCATCAGCGAAAGGAAGACTGAAGTGTTGTTTCTGCTGTTGCCAATGAACTGCCGTCTGCACCAGATGTTATCGTGGTATGGCTATGAAGAACTGACAGGACGCATGGGTGAAGGAGTGCCTATGTCCACGTGTGTTTTGTATATTATTTCGTCCCCAATATGAAAATAGAAACTGAAAACACAACCAACTTACGGTCTTTGATGCCATAGCGTCTGCGAAGATTGGAACACGTCTTGCTGTACTGTAAGATTGGTGAGGTAACTATGATAATACATGATTCCTACGAATCTCACTGCAAGAAATCTCATTGTGTCGGTTTTCAGGCAAGTCTGCATCTATTGAAAAACACCTGGGTTTCGAGTTTGGCACGAACGAGCGTACGCCTCTCCCTTCGCTGGGTTACCTCGGGTCTGCTCCGTTTTCCAGTAGCAGGCGGACCACCGGCGCGTGGCTTTGCCGACAAGCTAAGTGAAGCGGGGTCTCCTGGCCCCTGTTCCTTTGGTCGATTTGTGCTTGGTAGCGCAGGAGTACGCTTACGGTGTCAACATGACCCTCGTGTGAGGCGACCTGTTGTTGGTATCGGAAGAAAGTTGTAGGCAATGCACAGAATGGCGGTGGTAGTATCGCCTTGTGGTAAAATCAAAGGTGATCTCGCAGCAACTGAAGGAGCTCCGTCAAATCCTGGTATAAACATTGCATTCACTTCACAGCAGTGAGTGGTTGAATAGCCAGCTCAGCAGTCGATTTGAACGGCCGCGGAACGCAATCAAGATAACTCAACCTGCTTATGGACGCTCTTATGGCGAGGCCCTTCGAGTACTCTGAAATTCTCTAGGAGCATGGTCTTGACCAGAAAAGCAAGCTTCGTTTTACGGTTTCAATCCCGTGTAGAGAGTAATAATGGTCAACGGTACATACGGAGTACGTTATACATGTAATCTACAAAAGCCTACCTGGTCTATACCGCACACATATATTGTGTGCCGCCAGAGAGGAAATTACCGTCCCGAGATTAGCGACCAAGACCTGCCTACTGGCGGAGAGCAAAATTTGGTGCATCGCGCACACGCTATCTTTCCTTTTCAGTCCCTCAAGACGATTCGTCTGGTCTGAGTCGCCAAATGAAATCGTCGCTACAATGTTAGTGTTGTTGTTGTTGTTGTTGTTGTTGTCTTCACATTAAAAACCGTTCCGTTCTCTCTGCGCAGTACCTCCTTCTGTCCGTACTAGTCTAATACTTGACGGGGTCGATCCCGTGGACACAGGTTAACTTGCCCAAAAAAGGTATACGAAAATAAAATGGACCCGAGGGGTCCGCAAGCCAATAAAAGTCAACAACAGATAGTCTAGGCCACTCCGCTCGCCTCTACACTCTATGCGAGGTAACCCTAGATTGGAAAAAATAGAAAAAAAGAAAAGGAAAACCAAACAGAAACAGAAAGAGAAAACAGAAAAGGAAGAGAGCAGATGGAGAGAAGGGAAAGAGAAGGAGAAGACAAAATACATATTTGAATTTGGGATCATCAGGACTGCTGCGCCTGTGGGAGGCGAATGAATTATTTGGTTCGGCCGACGTGTCGAGTTGGACTCAACACAAGGGTCCATAAAGCACATAGGCATGTATGACTACTGTACTCTGCAACTAAACCTTTAGCGCAGGCACGTTTATATGATGAGGTACCGAAACTCCTGCTCCATACGCTGGGGAGAGGAAGTATAGGTACGTGTCTCATCACACTCGACTACTACGGCAGTGGGTGTAATGCAGTACAACGCGGACGCGTTGTGGCGCAGAATTTTAAAAGTCGCGGCACCCACGTGGAGCGCCGAATTGCCCCACTGGTCTAACCCGGGATCACCGCCACCCAAGCACCAACGCCGAACTGCTTCGCCCCCCCCGCGGGTGGCAGCGGCCTCGTGTAGGTCCCAAGAAAGGCAGCACGGGTCGTCTTTGGACGTCGTTGTGGGGGTTGGCAAGTCATCCTGGCTGAGTCGCGGTGTTCGTGTCCCGCTTGGCCAACTCCTCCTGAGGCCGGAGGAGGTAGCGGGCTCACCCCCAGGCATACAGTGGCTCGCAGAGTCGTAGGCTTTGTTGCTTGCTTCACCGTTGGGTGCAACCCGTTGGGTGCAACGGCGCTTGCTGTGTCGACAATCTGCGGCCCACCGTCCGTGTTGGCCATTGGCCAAAGTGTCATGTTCAGGTCGGTTCGGAGTCGGTTCTGCTGACGTTTCGGATACGTTACACTCCCAGCAAGGTACCACCAGCAGAAAAAAATACTGGCGTATGGAAAACCGCGGACCCGGGGGCGCGAATATTTGCAATCCATGGATTATAAAAGAGAACCACAGTCCAAACATCCGGACGGATCGAAACCCCGGGAAACCGCCCGGAGTGTCCCCGAAGAGGTTCTCCTCTCTCCCTCTCAAATTCAATATTATCTCGGAGCCTGGATCTAACGCCCGTTGTCTTCGGAAGCAGAGCTCTCGTCTGCAGCAACAGCCTCAACAGTCCATACTGCCATACTGGCACATATTTCACGCCAAGGCCACCCTTCGCACCCGGGATGCCCAGGAGACGCTAGGCCTCAGAGGAACAGGAGGACACGACGACACACAACGCCCCGTACTTAGAGGAGTGCTCGTCTCTCTCTGTGTGTGTGTCTATCCGCGTGTGGTGCTGCTGTTGTTGTGCGTTTCTGCTGCTGCAAGCAATTGTTGCTGTAGATTTTGTGAACTACATACAGCAGTATTCTTTTTTTGGTAGATATAACCTGCTGCACGGTGCTGCCGTGATGGATGTCAGTCATCATGGGGCCGTCAAAATCTGTAGGCATCGTTTAGTTCGCACACCGCAGGCCCGCTCAACAAACTCGAGACGCGGCTCACACGGTTTTCTTCGCAGAGCACACAGGTCGACAAGCACAGATAGACGCAGAAAAAAACAAAACAGAACAATCAATATCCAACAGCGATTTGATGATAGACTGACCCCCACCAAAAAAAGAAAGGACCTCGGATATGACCCCAACACGGCAAAAAAGGGGGCGGAAGAAAGAAAAGAAAAGGAAATGGAACAAAAGAAATAAAAACAGGACAGGAACCAGATGGCCCCATCGAACGCTACACCGCAACAACCAAATAGACATACAAACACAAAATCGACAACATCACAGACGGCGATCGGCGCAAAAACGCCGAAGCGAAAAATAAACAACACACCGAGCCTTGACCTGCCGCCGGGGGGGGACAAAACATCGTTCAGGCATATGCCCCGGTGACGTCGTAAACCTAGGGCCGCGTACCGCTACTCACGTACCCCAAAGTATGCAACACCGAAACTAGAGTTGGGACCCCGAAGTCGCGGCTCTCTTGCTACCCCCTCTTGTGTATCTTTCTGCAGCGCCAGGTCGTCTTTTATTACTTGTCCTAGCGGGCAGGCGAACAGTTCCAGGGTTGGCCATGAAGAGAGCCGCCCCCCGCCCTCCCGTCGTTGTAGTTCCTACCCCGCCTGCTTGCACATTGACCATCGTCAGAAATTGGTCCACGAGGGCTACGGCGACTGTCGGTGAAAAGCGATCAGACAAAATACTCGCGGCTTGCCCGAGCTTCTTCGTTACGTCGGCGTACAACACTTGTCTATCCTGGTCCGTGGGCCCCTTCTCCTTCAAGTCCAACAGGACCGTCTGCACCGTCTGGCTGCTCCCAACGAAAGACTTCCACCTCCCGCTGCATCCCCCCACCCCCTCTCCCTCTCCCTCTCCCGCCGCCCCGTCCACTTCTCTCGCAGCGTGGCGGTTGGATACCACCCACCGAGGGCGGGCGACATCCGGCCAGTCCTGCTGCGGTGTTCCCCTCGCCTTTTCCGTCAGCCAGTGCTCGTGCAGGAGGCCTACGTGGAATCTGAATCGGGGGCTGTACATCATCGCCGCCCACACATGGCGACAAAATAGCCTGAGAGTTTGGAGTGTGCGGCACTGGCAGAGATGGCTACCGTCGGAAAAGAGCAAGACGAGGTAGTCGAAGGCCTTGTCATCACGCTGCTCGTGAATCCCGAAGACGTAAATGGCGTCGCAAAGCTTGTCCTCGATGTACTCGAACGTGCGCCCCGAAGCTGCCGCGCGTTCTGGTCCATCCACCTCCCCACCACCCATCTGGCAAAACGTGATGGCCGCGGTCATCTCTTGCTCCATGAACCGCCGCGGCCAGCCCGCGATGGAGAACTCGCAGGACTCGAGCACACTCTTGAAAGCGGTCGCTGGTGGAGCCGCCATCCGATTAGGCGGCAGATGGTCGATTGCGTCACGCAGCATGGCGGCATCCTTCTGGGAACAGATGATGCCCGAAAAGTTACTTCGCCACGTCCAAAAGCGAGGAGCGCGAGTTGCACCTATCCCTGATGAGGGCGTTTTGGCCTGTTTGTGTGTGCGGCGGACAAACACGCAAGAAGCGACACACAAACCAAACCGTAGGTTAGTGATTGGTGTCATCAGACATCGTTGAAGTCGCAGTACGCCAAACGACTGAAAGAGAAGCCTATGACTTGACGCACCCATCGCCACAGATGTATGTACACGTGAGCCGGACGATCGCAGTGCACCGACCAAGTACATCAATCCCGAACAACAGGGGCCGGACAACAGCCACATGTTTCGAAGAGGTCGTAAACATTAGCGTCATGTAGGGAGTTGTTTACTGGTCATCCACTGACGGCGTACGATAAATTCGTCCAGAAGCACTCACCAATGGCATAGTAAATAGGGGGCAAGGAAGATAGCCGCCCCCAACCCCCTACAGACGTAGAAAAACTCCCAAAAACAACGACAACGCTATATGCGCTGTCGTTCTCGAACAAAACGCTCATGATGGCAGATGACGCATACACGCACCTTCAACTCTTGATGTCGTCCACGAACCCACGGAGAACACCAGGGGCGACACATATTCCGCCCACCGTGCACGGTCGTCATATACTACTTGCATGTACTTCTCCGCCTTCGGGTACTTTTCGATGAGGGCGTTGAACTTCCGTTCGAACTTCGCCAATGACAGCTGCTGACGCACACACCTGAACTCGTCCATGAAAGGCTGCGGAAAACACAAACGACGTGGGCCGGGTGGGTGTTGCGTGAGTTGGGGCCTTTGCGATATGGGCTACCGGTCTGTACGATTGACTGCCACCAACAACCCCGTACACTTCGTTAGCGCTAAGGCGAGACGAGGAGAGGGTTGAAAAAACTCAGCGACATACCATTGGTGCTTACAACCTGCTGCTGCTGCTGCTGCTTTTTCTGTGTGCACTGGACGTCGTGAGGTATGTTTCCGTCGAAGCCGAGGTCGTCTCCGCATCACGGTCTACGCAGAGACGCTGGATATCACTCTTCCAAGTAGGCGACACTGATCCATGACAACGCACCAACTCGCACAGGGGATACAAGCGGGAGTGGGGGAGGGGGGCTAGAGTGGGCAGCGTACGTCGCGCGACCAGGACAATACGAGAGGCCAGACTAACCACGCCAACACACACAGTAGAGCGCACCTTCATGTACCCACCAAGGACTTTAGCGAGGGCCTTGATAACGTTCTGGTTGAGGTGCCATAAATTGCGCCTCGCCAGCGCGTCCGGGAACACCTCTCGCACCGCCGCCGTCATCGCCGCGTCCGCGTCCTGGATGAAGGTATCCGGCTGCTTCCCGCGAGACTCCAACGCACTCTTCAACATCCACAGGAAAGTGTCCGTTGTGGTGTCGGCCGTTATGCTTTGGCCGACGATCCGCGTCCGATACTCCGAATCGACGACAGCGAGCACACCGAGAGGCATACGGTATCTGTTCTTGACAGCGGTGTCGTCGTAGAGCGCAACGTGACCGTACCGATTCCAAAGCGCCACCTGCGTATTCGGAGCATGACGTCGAAGGGGATCGAGAGCACTTAATTGTGGGTGTGACGTGTGTTGGACGCGTCACAACGCACCCCCACCCCTTGCCTACGGCGTGCTTTCGGTCAGACGTCCTACATTTGCGGACGGCGAAGCGGTACGTGCGAGATGCTAAAATGAAAGCAAACCTTCCGGCTGGGGAATATTCGTATGGGGCACAACGACCGGCGACCTACCTGCTCTCTCGTTTGCCACCAGATGTGCGTCAGGCGGCCGCTGTCATCCATCTTGATCTCGCACACTCCGCCGTCGGCCGTCGCGGCCATGACCTGAAATTGCAACATGTTAAGCGCCCGGAAACATCGAGGGCATCAGCGCAAAACCACGACGACGGCACGGCACACATTTTTTACCTCCAACATTTCTTGGTTTGGTGTCATGGGGCATATATTCTCCCGGTTGTCACCTGCGATCGTATGTGTCTTGTCGCCCGGATACCGCCTTGAGCAAAACCCAACATCCCACACACAAACAAGAGAGGCAACAGTCTCAACGGACACATGGACACACCTCTTCGTACGCATCGGCAGCATCTCTCGGCTTCTCCGCCCCGTGCACAATGGCAGCTGCGTTCTGCACCGCGCGCTTGTTGATGTCGATGTCGCTGTCCTCGTGCAACGCCTTCATTGCTTTCGTCACCTCTTTTGGCTTCATCCCATGACCTGCGCCGTATGGGAGAGCCGGGAGCACAAAAATAAGTGGCGTGTCACAGACAAACAGGGTAACAATGTGGAGGCGACAGCAGTACCACGCTTCAAGGGCCGTTCGTCATGCGGCATCATGACTACCAACCATGACAAACCGTGGGATACGACGGGAGCCACTGTAGACCTACTCCAACGAGTTCAATCTTCCTTGCCCCATATTTGATTCACAAGACAAGACAAATGAAACGTTTCGCCGTCCACCGCTGAGTACACGAAAACAGCGAACCGAACGTGCACGCGTTGAAAGGCACGAGGTGCAGCACAGCAGGGACAATCAATTGGCGTGCTACACCCACGGAAACAATGGCAGGGCCTCTACAGGGAGCCTTGATGTGGACCGGGGGAATGCCAGATACCGGTGCTCTTTTCATGGGGCCAAGGGGAACAGCAGCAGCAACATCAAGTAAAGCACACAAAAAAACATTGTGGGTGTCACGCCGAACGGCACGTGTCAAGCACCAACCCGTCTCGCCTGCGTTTCCGGCGGGGGGCTGGTGGTCAATGTCTGCTGCTGTTGTTGCTGTACGGGGTGGGCTTGTACAGGGTAGCCCGCAAAACCTCCGGCGGCCCCAGCATCGGGAGCACCCACAGGGGCCGGAGTTCCCAACGGCAGACCAGTGCGAGGTGAAAGCATGGCCTGCAACCGCACGCGAAACCCACCACGCGGCGGAATGGAAGGACACCATGTCAACGTTTGATCACAAGACAAGACAAATGAAACGTTTCGCCGTCCACCGCTGAGTACACGAAAACAGCGAACCGTACGTGCACGCGTTGAAAGGCACGAGGTACAGCACAGCAGCGACAATCCACTGGCGTGCTACACCCACGGAACAAACATTGCCGGTGTCACGTCGAACCGCACTTGTCAAACATCAACCCGTCTCGCCTGCGTTTCCGGCGGAGGGCTGGTGGTCAATATCTGCTGCTGTTGTTGCTGTACGGGGTGGGCTTGTACAGGGTAGCCCGCAAAGGCTCCCGCAGCGCCAGCATGACGAGCACCGTAAGAGGCCGACAGAGCAGCACTGGATGGAAGCATTCCTAGCAATGACACTACCGCACGGCAGGCCACGGGTCCCACGACGCGAACATGGAGGGTAGACACATGAAGTTAAGGGGTTGGGCAAGTGCGTGCACAATGCCTGCACCTCTACCAGCCCAGCACTGCTGTAGCACCACCATACAGCCGAGCAGCCAGAAGAAAAGACTCCGGACTATACGGCAAGGACAACAGGCAGGGCCTGGCCTGGCCTGACCACACCAGTGCAGGCACATGATCACCAACGTACGTACGACGGCAACAACAGGTACAGAGCAGCATCGACACGTGGGACAGCATGAGGGAGGCTGCAACACAGGAGACAGACCAACACACACATGGCGCTGGTGCGGGTGCGGCCGTTGCTATTTTATTTCCAAAAAAAACATCACAGAGAGGGTGAGGGTGAGGCACAGACACAGAGGATGCACGGACGCCTGTCGGGACGGGATCTCACCAGTTATCGTTGTGTGTTGTCTCCTCGTCTTCCCCCAGCGTGCGGGTGCGTGTCGCCGCCTTCAGACGGCTCTCCGCCGCCGTGATTATCGCTGCTTTTATAGGAGAGGGAGAAGAACCTCTTCGGGGACACTCCGGGCGGTTTCCCGGGGTTTCGATCCGTCTGGATGTTTGGACTGTGGTTCTCTTCTATAATCCATGGATTGCAAATATTCGCGCCCCCGGACCCGGACGTCTTATCCATTCTGCCGATCCCCGTACTCCATTTCGCAACTTTCGATCCGAAGGGGAGCCAGAGGTGGCAGCACAGGAGAGCGTTACCGCCTACATCTCCGTCTCTCTCTCTCTTCTCTCTCCCCCTTCTCTTCATGCCGCGTCTAGCCGTGCTCATCTCGGGATGCTCTGTGTTCCTTGTGTTAAGCTGGGCAATGGTCGCGATTCGCCAGGCGAGTCGGCCTCAGTTCCATTCCTCCTCGCCAACAGTTTTGCCGGCAGCGAAAGCGCAGAAAGAAGGTGGTGTTGGTGTACATAAGGAGGACGCAGCCAAGCTCAAGACCCGGTTCAAGACCCCTGATGGGAAGGACCTCGGCGACCGCGAGCTCGATCGGAATGGGAAGCCGAAGAAGAGGATGGGGTCGAGGGGCATCTCCGTGGACAGGAAGAACATCGTCGAGACTGTTGAGATGGACGACCTCAGGGCCCCGCCGGGACGCCTGTGGATTCCCGCCGCGCTCTCCGGCCCCATCAACCACGACTCGCCAGACAACGCTCTCTTCAACGTGCTGGTGGCCTACTGCCAGCTGGACATGGTCGCCTACCACGAGAGCCCGTGGCTCTTCGCGATGGGAGCGTTCCATCAACGAACCTCCGGGTGCATGGACGACCCGAGCTTGACCCGGACGTACAGACTCTCGTCCCTCAAGGTTCGTTGTACGCTTGGTTGGGCCTCTTTGGACTTTCTGGCACCAGGGTTCCGGAGACGTTCTGGTGTCTGTTTCATGCCCGGCCTTGGCTTTGACCAACAACCTCGGAGCACGTCGTACATAATAGGTTATGTTATGTGAGAGTGTGAGAGTAAATCTGGATCTGTACTGCTGTAAGCTCCTTTCCTCCAAGCTGCAAAATTTGCGGAGAGACTATGCGTGACGCAGAGCGGGCGGATGCACGAGAGGACGAGAGGGCCACCAAACCCTCTTGCTGAGCCCACACGGGATATGCCACTAACTGCTGGTGTGCATTTGCTCAAGGGTCAAATAGAATCGCAAGGTGGGCCATACATTAAACATGATGAATTCATCGCTAACGAATTTTGTTCCAGCAGGTTTCTTGAAACACCCATGAACCACGACTACCGCTCGCGAATTTTCCTGGATTCTTCCTTGGATAGACATGAGGTCGTTTTTCTTTTTTCGTGGACAGAAACCAAACAGCAGAGAGGGAAACAGATGCGCTATCTCTCGAACGGGCACTCTTTCAGTGAGTATGTGTTTCTGAACAACTTAAAATAGTAGTGGTTGTTGGTGGTGAATTTTGGCGAGGTAGCAACTCAGACCGAACTTGGGAAACTGCTGTTTGTGGTGTGAGATTTGGAGAGGTGGCAACTCCGACCGAACTCGGAACAATTTTCAAAGCCCCCCATGTGCTGTGAACCGCGAATGCGTGGAACCTACATGCTATACCTGCAGCCAACCAACGTGCGGTGCTCAGGTATCTACCTTTCGGAGTGACCAATGCATGGACGATGGTCATGCGTAATATGTCTGGCAAGGAATGAATTTGTTAGAGCTATCCTGGTTCCCCGTACTTCTTGTGTGCGTCTGTGTGGTGGTATGGGTTTCCATTTTGGTCCTGGAAAATCCGTAGGCGTTATCAAGGTTATAGTTTGTGCCCCGCAACACGCAAAAGAGAGCGGTCCGATGTTAACATCTCGACGGTGTAGAGGGAAAATAATGGCTGCATTGCAATCAAATTTGTGTTTTTGTGTCAGTGATTTCAAGAATCAAAGGCGACGTGCCCGCTCCCTTACACAACGCCGTCCTCATCGTTTCAGCACACGACGCGGGTGCTTCTGGGCACACGACAGTTGTGTAAAAACAAAGAACTCTGTACTGGTGCGGTGTGGGGGAATCGTGTTTCGCATGCTTAAGGGGTTGTCCATGATGCATGTCTTTCGTTATCATGTCTACAACCGTGACGCGTACGTTGCCTTTACGTGTACCGGAAACCCACAGGGTGTTGGCTTCTTCTTTTTTTTCCAAAGTTGTTATCGTATTGTTGCTGAAAAAGAGTGTCTGTGTTGGTTCGGTGTCGTGGTTGACAAGTCCCGCCCCGCTCTTGCCGTCCGTGTGTCTCCATCGTTGCCGTTACGCGCCGGTCCTGATTGACATGACAGCGAGTGCTAGAAGAAAACCCCGACGAGTTCATGGATCCCACCGGCTTCATCTACCACGAAACCCGCTGCGGCTCCACCCTCTCGGCGAACATGATAGCCGCCGTGCCCTCTAACATCGTCCACAGGTGCGGCGAAAAAGACAGGCCCCGGGAGAGTTGCACTTTTTTTTCTTGTTCTTTTTTCTTGCACGCGCGCCCTGCAGGACGTTGTCAATGGCAACGTAGGTCTACCGAAAAATAATATAAACTGCGACAGAAAGAGAAAAATAGTGGTTCCGCCGCGTTGGAAACTTAGGTATGCAGGCGGATCATCCAGACGACTCCCCCTCCCCTCACCCTCCCCTCTGTCTGTCTGTCGGTCTGTCTCTCCCAGCGAAACGCCTCCACCTGTTGCGGTCCTCAACCTGTGCCCGAAAACCGGAAGATGTCCCGACGGGTTGAGAGAGGAGCTGGTTCGTACCGTGTTCCGTCTGATGGGCCCGGTGCAAGACGGCCACACGGACCTGTTCTTCAAGTTCCAGAGCTCCAAGTTCCTGCCGGCGATCGAGCAGGCGTGGCCGGAGACTAAGTGGATCTACCTTTTCCGAGACCCCCTCGAGGTCATGTCCTCCAACCTGAAGGTGTGCCTTGCTGCGAGCGCCCGCTTTTTTTGTTGTGGTACACACAACAGGAGTCTGAGGAGGTGTGCTTGCTGGGAGCGTCAGCTTTGTTGATTCGCGTAGTAAAACACACATCAGAAGTCTGAAGGTGCACAGCAGTGAGGGCCTCAGCTTAGCGACCCCTAGTGTCACGACGAAATGTAACCGCTATTCAGGGCACGTTGCTAAACCGAACTACCAATGATATAGCAGTTGTTCGCGTGCGGTGCCACGTGATTTTGTGGTCGCTAAACCGAGACCCCCACTGTATTTGCTTCGATCGTCGGCCTCTCTCTAGTAGTACGTAGTACACGCACCAGGAGTCCGGGATGGGTTGGCCACCCATCGGTATCCTCTTCGTACCTCGTCGTGTGCATGCATTAAAGAACTCGGGGCTTGGCCGGCCCCCTATCGGTGTCCTTACCCTCAGGATAAGGGTGGAAAACTTGCACCCTGTGTGCGAAGCGGCTATTTAGTTGTTGGTTGATGCACATGTTACCTCGACATAGGAGGACTGCCAGGGGGAGTGTCCTTCCAAGCGGCCAATCAGAAACCAAAACCTTTTCCGCTTCCGAAACGAACTGTAGAATGAAAACGTGTGCCATGATGATGGAAAGTAGTCAGAGGTGAAAGTACGAGGGGATAGGTTCCCACAAAGCTGGCATGGAGCATACCTCTCGCAAGTGGGAGGGTCTGTCCTTCTTTTGGTCCCACGACACGGAGGCAACACACCAAGTTCACGTACCGAGGGGATCTCGCGAAACATTACATCCAAGCCCTGACCCCCGGCTCCCAAAGGGGTACAGTATACTAGGCTCCCCTTCGGAAGTTAGGTGGCTTGCCTCCCGGGGGCAACGCAAGAGGACATGACCAATGTCATCGCGATCGCATCGTTGCATCTCAATGTCATGACGTTCGGTAGTGCCGGCTTTGCGTACATCCTGCAGAATTTGCCTGTCATTTGCATCATGTGTGGGGTATTTTTTTTTTTCTCGCTGTGACTTCTCGCGTGTGCGTGAGTGTGTGCTTTTAGGCTAGTGGCGCCTTTGCTGCAGGTCGTACGGCTGCGTTCCGCTGCGTTTGATGTCTCACTCTTGCATATTCGTGTTGCCATGGGCGCGCACCAGTAGCATCAATCTTCTTCTTGTTCTCACACCATCCGGAAAAAACGAGACCTTTCGCCCATCGCACTCCCACGTTCCTACTGCGGAGTCCATCAGTACATTGGCACGTGTTCCTCTCCTCATCCTTGTTTACCGTATGCGGACCTTTGTGAACGCAGCCAGCGTGTGCTTGTTAGGTTCATCACGGTCACCCTGGTGTGTTCAGTTCCCTCACCGAAAACGAAACAAAGAAGTAGCCTTTTTCCACACACAAGCAAGTCCAGGAGAAGCTTAGCGGTATTGTCGTACGCCGCTAGATTATTTTCTATACAGATATCTCACTTGTTTTTTTGCTAAGCAGACTTCGAACTGGCAGCCCTGCAAGCAGACCGCAGCACGGCGGTATGCATACATCCCCGTCAGAGTACCTGCGTCACCCTTTTCGCCTCCTCCATTCCAAACGACAGGGAGCCTGGCGAAAACAGGTAGCTAGCGCAGAGCGCAATATGACGTCCCCCGCGGTCTATAACCTCGGCGGGCCCTGCGTGAGGGGCGCAAAGGGCGGCGGGTCGAGAAAAGCGCCAAGCCCGGAAAGCCTTGTTACCACTTGCGCTAAGCACCTGGAGACGCTGAATGAGATTGCTCTGACGCAGATCGTGGAGGGCTCTCCCAATGGGCTGGCCGTCGAGTATCGGCAGCTACCGGAGGTGAGGAGGGTGTGGCAATTGTGGCGTAATCTTGGAAAAGTTGTGCTGTGGCGGAAATCGACCTTCTGGTGGTGGTCGTTTTTTTTGTTTTGTTCGGGAGTGGGATAAGGATTCGTTTCGTTTTGCGATACCATCCCGACACCACGTCCTGCCGTGCATTTTGTGCTTCCGTGTGTTTTGTGTGCATCCCATATGTGTGTCGGGAGAACGATCCTCGTGAAGAATTACGCGGGCTTTATGGCGGTGTCCTCAACGTTGACGCCGCATAGACACGTAGTGCTTGCGCTCGGTTGATTTGCGGCACGCAGAGCTACTCTCTCAGTCGATTGGGTCAGGGCTGCATATTGAGGAATGATTCCGCAGCGGGTGCTGTGCATAGAAGTTAACAAGAACGTCAGAATGGGGTCGGCTCAGCAGGATTTATTCACGCCGTCGTTGACGTGTCGGCCTCTGGTGTGTGGAGCTAATTGTTTCAGCTTGCGTGTCCAGCCAGGCCTTGCGGCAGTAGGTCCGGCTACGTAGTCAGCACTGTCCGCACACAAGATTCGAGCTTGCGACATGGTTCCGTGGAAAATACACGCACACACACACACACACACACACACACATCGAGTAGCCGCGTGCAGTATGCCATACACGCACCATGCAGCCATACGTGTGCGCAACGACACCTGCTGCTGCTGCTGCTGCTGCTGTGGACAGGCACATGGTGAACGAAACCCCGGCACATTGTCGGGAGAGCAACCTCTGATTGTACCCAGCCCCACCCCTGAGACGGACTGATGTACGGGTGCTGTATTGCGCCCAAGGCAGCGCTGAATTGGTGACTCGTGCTTGACCAGCCCCTGAGTGGAGATGTGCCTCGGTCTTGGCTGAGGGCGCGGCTTGTGCTCTGTTCTACGTGTACTTGCCGTAACCCCCCTAACCCCCGCCGCGCGCGATGAAGGTCATGACGGAGTACGTGTACCCGAAGCACCTGGGCATGGCTGAGACCGAGGAGGAGCGTTCGGAGTTCAAGCGCTGGATGGAGCCAGTGACTCACGTGTACTCGAAGGGCATGGCAACTCCTGCCGAAGGCGCAGTCTCCAAGGCGAGTAGATAGCTGCTGCCGCTGCCGTGCTCGCTGGAGTTAGATAGTTCTGGTTGCCTTCTCGGAATGCTTTTCGCGGCCTGCCCTCTAGGCGGACTCACGCGCGCCTTGTACAAGAGCTAGTGGCGTTGCAGGCTGCGGTTTCTCACGTCCGTTGTGCAAGAGCTAATGGCGACACGCTTGCGGAAGCTGCGGTTTCTGCGCGAAACAAGCGTGGTGGTGACCGCGGTCGGCCTGCCGACCGTTGGGCCATGTGTCAGATGCCAGCGTGCTTTGCCTTCAGAGAGCGGTATTGTACTCGTGACAACAGTAGTACACCCTCGCTGGCTACTTTTTCTCGTTTTCAGTTTCGGATCGGTGGAGCTCCAACCGACAAAGAGCATGGAGAACGATCTCACATTTTGTCCCCACGACATTTTTTGGTTAGTTTGTCTTGCTGTTCACGGTGCCACCGTTTTGATTGTTTCACGTCCATGTCCATCGATGCGCCGAATCGTTGGATTCCGCCTCTTCAGGAGTATCAACAAGGGATGGATCTCGAGTTGAAGGAGCAGGGCAGCGACCCGCGCATGCGAGCAGCGGCTGCCACCATGTGCGCGAACTACCGCTCCCTCGTCGAACTGCAGCGATGGCGAAAGGAGGAGCAGGGCAGCACGATGGGGACCTGTGATGTCAGATGACGTGTTCTCTCTTGGGCACGCCACTACGATAAGTGGTACTTGGTGGGTATGGTTACTCCGGTTTCTTTTTCAGGGTGGACGAAGCCCTCCTCCCCGAGGCGTGCAGCCCGAAACTCGAGAGGGGCGCTTCCATGATATTTGGGTAGGCGTGATGGCTGTGGACCTAATTTTTCACTTAGAACTGCGGCGTTCAAGGGTAATTATTTTTTGTGTGCTGAATGAGGGTGCCCGTTGTGTAGCTGTACAGCCCTCTTCGTACTGGCAAAACGGGCGTGAGGCTAGAAGGACTTACATGTAGCGCGGGTGCCTGGTGGCCAGAAATACCACTAGCACTGGCCATATACAAAATACACCGAAAAGTGTAGTACACGTCACACCACGAAAAATGGGGGGACTGTCGCCATAATAAATAGGACGAAAACACACACTGGCCAGGAACCTGGTCGGTGTTGTCGTGTTGCTCGTGCTATTTCGCCGAGCACGGCCGCCGCTAGACAGGAAGTGCAGCTCGAGACATGTGTGTGTAAGTGTGCTTTGTTTTGTTTTCGAAACTTGCCCCCTTTCTACCAAGCCGCCGATTCTATAGCAGTAGATACATGGCGTTAGTTAGCGGGTGCGGCGAAGGGCTACTGCATCGAGCAAATCTGCCGCTAGGCAGGTAATGCAGCTAGAGACATTTGTGTTGGTGTTTTTGAAACTTTCCCCTTTTCTCAAGCCGCGGACACTCGCAGGTATCCTTTTCTCAAGCCGCGGACACTCGCAGGTATTTGGCGTTTGGGATTGGCGGGTGCGGCGAAGGGCGATCGCATTGGCCAACGGGGAGAAGAGTTCTTTGGAATTCATGGCTTGTTCCCCCCCCCCCCACCGCACGCAGGGTATATATGAGGGGGGGGCGGGGAGGTGCATTGATCCGGCCTTTTTTGTTGCCGTACCCTGCTTTTCCCCTGTCTTGGTTTCCCGTAGACGTGGTCAATTCCTTGATATTCGATGTTGGTTTGGTTTCCCTCGACTTGATTCTGTATCCTACTTTTAATTGCCTTTGTACATGTTTTGCGCGGGTGGCACAAGTCTAGTGGGTTCTTCTTGGTCGCTACAGTGTTAAATCACCCGCATCCTTGCAAGATGAACTTTTTTTTGTTTTGTTTTTTTGCTGCATGGTTCGTTATTTAAGTGTTGCCAACTGTTGAAAATGTGGCGGCAAATTTTGATGTCGTGTGTTCCGCTGGCGTGAATTTGATAATTAAATCCGCATTCAGTCAGGACTTCCTATCAACATTAGTTCTCCGGCGGTAGCTTTCTTTCGTGGTTGCGATCAAGGAGCAAGGAATGCTGTGTCTCCAACCCTCCTCTTAGATCCTCCTCCGTTCATTGGTTAGTTCGTGTTGTATGTACAGTACCGTCGGTGAGACCAATGAGACGGAGCACCGGTGCTTGAGGGCCCCGCCCATGGTGGTTCTCGCGTTTAGCGCTTACGAAACTCAAAACCAAGTTGTTTTTTTTTGCGGTGCAGTGAAAGACTACCGGAATCCACTGCTGTCAGCCATCGTCCACACGAGGTGTCTCGACGCTCAACTCAACATGCGGGTGTTTGAAGCCCGTTAGGCCACTCTCTGCTGCTCATATCCTGGACCACACGGAACCCTTCTTGACCCCACCCGCCCTTCGGATGTTCGAAAAGAGGCTTCGCACATGCGACCTCGGCACAGAGGGTTATTTGCACGCATTGGGGGCTTCCTCGGAATGCCTACTTGGCAACGGTTTCGATGATATTCGGCGTTCGTTTGGGAGGGGTAACCTCCCCGTCGTGAAAACGAAAAAAACGCTATGGGGGGGGGGGGGGCTGTGTCCTGGGCCGATATCGACGGTCTGCAATTGCACCATGGGGGAGGTCTAAGTGGAAAAAATACGGTGTTCGGCCGTTGGGATCATGAAAATGTCAGGTCACGCCGCGAGAGGGTTGCCCTACAACGCCCAGTAGGACGGAAACACCTCGACGTCATGGTCCTGTTGAGACCTGTTTTGAGCAAGGAGGAAATACAATCTTTCAGCCCCTTCCCGCCAACCAAGACGCGCCCTTGGAACCACCTAGACAAATCGTCGGGGCATTATTGGTTGTTCGAGCACCCAGAAAAAAATCATTGGTCAAGGATTCTGCGACTTCGATTTTTACCTTGTAGAACTCTGTTCGCCGAGAGCAAGTACACAAGGTTATCCCACCATTTTCTACCCAGATGAAAAATGTCAGGATTGTATCCATCGGCAGGGTGCGCTCGGACACCCACATGTGGAACCGCCGCCCCATCTTGTGTACCGCCAATGGAGACCCGGCACTCGCTTCTCTCTAAGGGGGGCACATAGGTTGGCCACATTCATCACGCTACGGCATGTTGAGGGTCTACTACAATATTTGACCCTTGGAATGAACTATATATTGTAGTTTCTCTCTCTTCGTGCCACCGCATATTCACGTGAGTGCTGCAGCTGAGGCAAGCAAGTGCATATATTCGGCGCAACTCGTGCATTGCTTGCTCCCGAACGCGATGAGTGGCCAACGGGAAAGCACACACGGCACCCCCACTCGCACATGACGAAACCAAACCGTGTTTTTCTTTTTACAGAAGACAGTTCTTCTTCGGCTTTTGTTGACGCCGCATGTTGAACCAAAAAAACGAGCAAAAAGCTTCCCCAAGAACAAGTCCAGCAGCAGAAACTACCGAAGTAGTCGTTCCCCAAGTCACGACATGAAAGGGACACACACAAGGAAGCACGAGACAAACACCAAAGAACACGGCGGAAAATGTAAACCCTTCCCAAACGGGCGCGTCAAAATCGAAAAATTGACAGTGGCCACTCGTTTCTCAAAGCCACATCATCCCCTATCCCGCAAACCCACCGGACAGCGCCATATCAAATAGACCAGCGCGCGTCATGTGATACTATTTAACCCTCGAACCCGCAAAGAGAAAGAAAAAAAACAAGACGACTCAACGCCTCCCCCTAAAAGAACACATATATGTCGGCTGGAGGCCTGCCTGTATCCCAATCACCTACACAGTGGTTGGTTGCCGAACTTGCCAGCCCCCCAAACCCTCATCCACCCAACCTTGCCCGCTATCACAGACAAGCGCAGAAAGTGGTGCGCGCCCAGCAACCACCTGGACCGACGCACCGCACATAAAAACTCTTGTGTGTTTGCTGACTTCGCTACCTCTCTCGCTCACCTATCTCCCCCAAAACACCTGTGACTCTCACTCTCTCTCTCTCTTTCTGCCTGGATGCGCAGAGGCAATCCATGAAAAAAAAACTGTTCTTACTCTCGCCCCCTCGTTTCCTTCTGTTGGTGCTCTATGGTACACTCATTCCACACGCACCCCGGACATGCAGCCGAATACTCTCGCGCCTGTAGTCATCACGAAAATCCACGTCAAGGCTTTAACGAGCTTCTACTCCTGTAAGGAAACGTACACACTAGCTCAGCTCCCCTTCCCCCCCCCCCCCCCCTGTTACGCATGAAAACCGCCTATTCTCCCTCGTTGTGTCAAAAAGGCTGCCGTTCGTCATGACTAGTGTAAAATATCGTCACGATAAGACCACCCACCCGGCCACGGATTGAGGCAGGCGGTTTTGCCCATGATACAAATACCAGATTACCTTCGTGACCCAAAATCATAACAGCAGCGGAAGGAGCGTTTCCTCTATACCGGCTGAAGGGAATACAACCGACACCCAGACATCGACATGATATGATACCCACATACACCTATAAGTACCACCTACGGTGCTCCCTCTCTCTGCCCGCCGCGCGCGGCTGCCTGCTCGAAAAACCAACCGAAGCTGGCCGCGCTGCGAGATACCCTAGCGTGCCGTGGATATCAACATAAAAACTCGAGTGCTTCGTACCGAGATACACAGGTAGATAGATCACCCAACACAAAAAGCTACCCCAAACAAAACACTACAAACCTCGACATCAACACCACCATATGCCCTAGTCTCCACACAACACACGGCATACCTACTACTACTGCTGTGGGTTTACATGCGGTAATAAACAAGCTGCCCTTCGTGTCTCAAGCCGGCAGACGTTGCTTGTTGCCTAGCACTCTTGTGCACCTACTCTCCCGCCTCGAATACACAATAATGCGTGTGATAACTAGTTCTCAACCGACAGCAGGCAAGCGAAGCGCCGCCGAGAGGCACGCCAGTCCCTGAATATCCGGCACCCTCCCTTTGATACATCATTACAAAGCAGGCACACACTGGTACAAGCTAATACTCATCATGATTGCAAGCTATTACTCATCATGCTTGCAAGCTATTACTCATCATGCTTGTACCCCAAAAGCGCATGCACCCAAAAGTCGCGGCACAGGCCAAAACATGTGGTGAAAACATGTGGTCTAACCCCCCAGCGCCTTCGGAATCCCTTGGAAAGAATACTTTTACTGGGGGAAAAGTCTCACCAAAAGCACGATGTGGTCGAGGACCATTGAAGAAGTCCGGCGGCGGGAGAGGGAGGGGCTAAGACATTCAACACACCCGAAACCAGTGCTGCTCATTCTTCCCGCTGGTGCGCGAGCTTTGCGAGGCATACATACGTGAAGCTACGTGTCGGGACTAAAATACATGAAAACACACACTTGGTACACTTGGTACAATACCAGCATACCGTAGGATGCATGAAGTAAGATATCACACCTCCTGGACCAATTTTTGAAGCTCCAATACTCAACGACCAAGAGGGTGTCGAAATCAAAGGAAGCGTTTTAGGAAAGCTCTCTCGACGAAAAGGTTCCAACGCCGCCATTTTCGGCACGGTCACTGATTTTTCCTGCCGACTAATCGACCTTCGAAAAATCGGTCCAGGGTGTGTATTATCTTCTTAAAAAGAACGAACCACGAAACGCCGCGGCGGGCGGGACACACATCAGTGGCCTACCAGAGCAGTACGCACACAATTACTGCTGTGTGTAACAGCGGGCCCTGCTGCTGTGAAGCAGGAGACGTGCGAGGACGATGCCACTCGCGAACAAAAAACCCCTCGAGTTCCTACTCTTGATTCTCACTCGAAGGAATTCTTACGGAACTTACCGCAGGCGCAGGGTTTCGTGCGTAAAGGGGGGTTAGGTAAAAACAAACGACACAAGGAAGGACAAAAACAAGGCCCGTAGGGAATGCGCTGCGCGCCCACCAGCTACGGAAAATAAATCAAAACAACCAAAAGCAAAACCAGGAGGGAGAGAGGCACCGCGCGACATACAAAAAAAAAAAATGACCTTGTACCAAATGACACATATCATTTCAAAGGAGGTCGGTGTCCACTGCACCCGCGGTGGTGGTCTAGAATACGTATATACCAACCTTACTTTCGACCTTTGCCCCTGGCGGACAAGTTGTGGCGGACGACGACACAACAGCAAGAAAAATACTCGCGCGCAACACCGGCGAGTGGACGATACAGCATACCTCAAATCCCAAGACAAGAAAAAACAAAGGAGTACAAATACTGCTAGTTGAGACTATCCCGAACCTCTGCCGGGTCTCCTTGTGTCAGTGAGCTGATCGTCTTACCCCCCACTGCCCTGGATGTGCTTGCTGCTGCTCCTGCTCCCCCGCGTCTACAAACCAGCCCCACTCATCTCCTTCGGGACGTCCTCCGCCCCTGGACGCCTTCCTTGCATCTACCTGCTGCTGCTGCTGCTGCTGCTGGTACATCAGCAGTTGCTGTTGGCGATATTGCTGCTCCAGCTGCGCCTGCTGCTGCTGTTGTTGCCTACTGCTGTGCCCACCACCACCACCACCACCACCACCGCCACCGACTCCCCCGTATGCGGACCAGCCGTTGCTGTTGCTGGCTCTAGCCGATCCTAGACTAGAAGCGCCGCCCACCATCTGCTGCTGTAAAGCGTGCGCCGCCGGCACGTTATTGAAGCCCGCCGCGGCCGCGGCTGCCGCGAAGTCGTGAGCCTCCGGGCTGAAGTGCACCCCCATCCCCGGCTGGGGAGGCGGCGCCACCCCCCAGGCGCCCGGTTGCTGCGAGGGGGACGTTCTGCCGTCCACCGAGGAAAATTCGCTCTCGTCGTCTGTTGCCTCTTCCCCGCTGTTGTCGCCCCCAGACGAGCGGCCGCCTCCGGCAGCCACGCCGGCGTGACCGGCGTGGCCGTAGTACGCCTCCATCGCCTTCTTCGAGGCCGAGGCGTTGCGCTCGTGCTCCGCCTTTCGCTTCCCGTGGCGGGACACACCAGCCCCGGGCACCATTTCAGTGCCGCCGCTGCTATTAGCGATGATGACGGCGATCTGTACAGGTAGACAGGTGGCTACTGCCTCTCTGTCGCAAATCCCCGCGCGTTCCGTCTCCGCTTCTCGAATTTCGGCTTCGCTCGACACAGCCGCCGCCGCCGTCGGCCTATCAAGAAACAAACGCCCAAAGAGTCCGAAACACAGTCCCGAGAGCCAACGAAACAGGCAGCAAAGAGATTGGACGTGCGGTCGCGTGAATCCCTGAATCCACTGCAGGGCTTGGCGCCGCTGCCGGTGGCGTGAAAGAGCGGCGCCGCCAGGATACGATGTATGTTCTACATGTGTTCCACCCAAATTCGCTCTATCTCCCATCAAAGCACCAAGAAAAACTCCGGCAGCCAGCAGCCGGCCGGGCAGTTGGGAGTTTTGAGCGGCACGACGGGGTAAAGCCGATAGTTGGAACGAAGACGCCAAGGAACGTTCCGAGTGCTCCCTAACGGGCGGAGGGTGTGCAAGAGCTAGTACGAGGAAGAGGCCCCACCATGGTGATGCATGGAAGAGCAGCGGCACCAGCAGGTGCACCCATTCTTGACATCCTCGTTATCTGGTGGACCCGGCTAAACGACAAACTAAGAACACATTTCTTTCCCCACACACCTTGATTGCGCTGGCTGCTTGTTGTCGGTAGGCGTGTATTCGGCCAGCGAGAAGACGAGAGTAGCTTGGACTTGTCTTCCTAGTGGCTTGTAATTGGAGTACAGCTGTTGGTACGTCGCAGAAGTGTTTCTGGTTGGCGCCGAGTGAGCGTAGTGAAACCGGGACGAAAGCCCTCAGTCTTTTCCCTTCTGTTTTTTTTTTCAGTGATTTTTTTTTTTTCGGTGTTGATTCAAACGTACACTTTCTGCCCGGGCTATTCGCTGTTCGCAAGCAGACTTGTTCAAGTAAGTGCGCAAACGTCAAGAGCTTATGCGTGTTCCTTGGTGGTCAAGGAGCTACAGCTACATGGCACAACAGACTGCCGCCTGTGCGCTTCTTGAGGCCTGTATAGTACGGGTTTACGCCCCTCCACATATATGCGCAAGCCGTGTTCACACCTGGTACACACGATGCGAAGGCCTCATAATATATATCTAGAGCATATTTCAGCTTTTCGAAAATTCTGGAAAGTTTTCGAAATTACAAACAACAGCTCGTTGTGCACGTGATGTTTGGGACCAGTTGCTGAAGGCGGCAACGATTTGATTTGTCGCTCGCACGATTCGTCATGCGCGTCACGACAGGCGACGATTCGATCGCAAGTGTTGCGGCTGGTGTGTGTGCAAGGCGAGTGAACGTGCTTCTTCTTCACCACCAGCTGGCTGGCGCACAAACCGCCGTAGCGACCACGTAAACAAATGCTACCAACTTAACGCGTTGCTACTTAGATACCACGTCGCTGCTTCGAATTCCACACAGCAAGCAACTATACAGAGGATGAATGTATGCGTATTCAATCCTGATATCGCCTACACATCGTCGCCATGGAGGTCGTTTTTTGTTAACCTTGCACTTTATTCACAGCACAAGTTGATGTAGCACCACCACATGACCGTACCGGGGCCGTACAGGCCTTGCTGTATAAGTGACGAGGCATATCGAGAGCGCCAGCGAGAGCGAGGATCGAACGGAAGGTTTGATTGGTTGTCTCGCTGAATGTGTCGGTCGATGTGCAAGTAAAGGCCCGAACCTGATTGGTTGTCTCGCACTGCATGTGTCGGTCGATGTGCAAGTAACGGCCATCATGTGCCTATGGGCCTATGAGCGAACCCAACCGACATATATTACGCAGACTGCATAGTATATGGTTCATACGCAGCTACATGTACTCTGAACATTGACTTGGACGGGAGGACACACACCCGGCATCCGGCACGGCGCACACCGATTCCAACGAATCCATCATTTATCCAAAGAACATGAAAATATGAAAATAATGAAAGAGTCTATTTTGGGATGGGAGAACTTGTAGGAGAATGAAGGAATAATGAAAACACACACAGAAAGACTACCCATTCGAGATATACCCACAGTCGAACGGGATGTGGTGGAGTCTTTTCAGTGAGTGGAGGGAAACCAGCTGGGTACTGGACTTATTTCGAGTCTTTTTAAGTCTATACACTGATGATTTATACCAGTGATGCCAGCTGGTGCTAAGTACAAAACATCTGTATAGGTAACTTACATTTTACAATACATCCCCTGTAGTTCCAACCTTCAACCGCTTGCCAACCTTTTGTGCCAACCCAATTGGCCAACCGGAAAAATCAAAACGTGCGACCCCGGTTTCCCGTTCTCCATCAACATGATAACGCCTCCTCGTCTTCGTGCGTACACGTCACCTCGCACCTCGCCTCGTCGCCGTATTCTTCGCTCTTCGCTCCAGCAACCCCCTCGTTTTCAATCCCCACGCGACGTTAATCCCGGCCCTCTCCTGAAGAACCAGGCACAGATAGCCAGGATAGACACGCGTCAGCATACAACTTCCAGTGTGGACAGCGTCGACGATGTCTCTCAGCAACTTGTCGGTGGTGAGCAGCGGAGGACGAGCGATACTGCAAGGCTCCAGCAAGCTCAGCAGCAGGCTCCCTCGCCCGCAGGTTCAGCTCGAGCAGGCTCAGCAGCAGCAGGCCCACCTCGCCGCCCGGGTTCAGCGCATCAACGCCACGATTGAGTGAGTGTGTCATCAAGGAACAACAGGGAGGGGTTGAAAGACAAGCTCTATTTCGATTTGGACACATGATGTTGAAGCGGCGTATGGTGCCGACCATCAGCGATCTCTTATTGTGTAGAACCTCGCCCTCCCCCCCACCCAACCCGCGCTCCCCCCCAAGAACCCCACCCCTTCCTCTTTATTTGACGATAAGACGCTTCGTCGGCGGGGGGCTTCATACAATGTGCTTCCAACACGGTGTTGGTTTATTGGAGGCAGCAGCTGCTCATCCCAGAGATTTGCATCGTTCCTCTCACAGATTCGTCCAAATTCGGCCCCTGCAGCTGTGTGCCGGTCTACGGGTCTCCCATCCGTTGTGTTCCGACATTCCGACCCCCCCTGCCGAAGAAGTATCCCGATGACAGAGTGCTCCATCGTTGAAGCCTGTCCAAAAGTCCAAGGGGGTGTTGTTGGTGTTCTTGGCCAGAACTCGTGTGTTTAGATATGTAGGAAAGCTGGAAGCGCTTGGAAGACTCTCCGCAGCAACCCTGGAAAACCACAAGTTTTTTTTTTGTCATGATTTTCTACTCCGTCCAAAGCAGACGATTGTACGGGGGGAAACATGATCAAACATTCCACGTTCACCAACCTGGCGTAACCGATAGACATGTTCAGCCTTTCCCGGCCTGGGATGACCTTTCCTGCATATGTTGCTCCCGCATAGCCATCCTAGCGTTGACAAGTAGCCGCGCGATGATAATTAGTCTTGGTTTTAGGTGGCGGTACGGGGTGGGATTGGGGGTTAGGGCAAGGGATACGAAATGCCCTTCTCCATTCCGTAGATTAGTAATAACATGCCAAGACGGTCCGTACTGCTGTTGGTACACCGTCCGTGTTTCCGACGCAAACGGGATTTCCTCTCACCAATGGAGTGCGGTAACATACATGAGTCTCATACACAAACTCTTCGTAACTGCCCCCCCCCCGCTTCCCACGTACGGAGTACGGTAGCATGCATGAGTCTCACACGAACCCTTCCATCTACTTGTACATCCAATTTCTTTTTTCAGAGAGCTGTACCCCCGGACAGCCGCCGTCAAGGACCCGGAGGCCAGGAGGGAGGTGGAGCTGAGACTGAAGGGACTGGCGCGCCACGGGCTGTTCGTCACCGAGACGTGGCGAGAACTCGACGCGATTCTCGCGGAGCGCGGGAGGGCGTGGTAGAGCAAGAGCTGCTCTCGAAACTTTCCTTACGGGAGACGGCTCCCTCCCAAGGGACGACAGACATCACCCCCTCTCCTTTTCGTATTTCGGTAGAATTCTCGCCTCTCGGGGAAACCGGGCCTGGAGTCGAGTAGGCGTTGAAGAAACCCTGAGCCACGGGTGTGATTGCTGCTCTCATTCATGTCTTGCCTATTTTTAGCAGCTTTCCTCTTTAGTGTTTCGTGCTATTTAGTTGGTCCCTGGGGTTTCCTGTTTTCGGGGAGGTAACGGACGGGACGCAGGTCACACGGAACGAAAAAAAAATGAGTGATGGGGTGATTTGGTGTCCCGCAAGTCAGCAGCGAACGACCAGCCACCGAAACGCGCATTCGGCAGCCGCGCGGATGGGACGGGGAAAGTTGTGCTGTGTATTCAACCATGTAAAGATGCATTTCAAGTGAACCACCGGCGAAGGCAATGGATTCGCAAAGTTTGAGAAAAAACAGCAGTGTCAATATTTGGAATTTAGCCTTTGTATTTTTTACGCCAACCGCGGGGAAATACAGCGGGCAATGAATAACACTGCGCGGGGTGTGGGGGGGTCCTGTGCGAAACGTGTTCTTGGGTGTGGGTACCATAGTTGTTGTAGGTCTGACCGAATCGGTCGCGTTTGGCTCTGAGTGGCCTTCGAAAAGTCCGAGCTGAAGAGAGGACACGCCAACGAAAATTCGCACGCTTTGCTACTCGACGACGGCGAGTGAAACGATTTGGGGTCTCGTTGAATATGTCGGCGATGTTCGCCAGGACACAGCCAAGATGTGACGAAAACTTGACGAATGGGTGTAGGGATGCTGCCTTGATTCCGCACGTGGTGTTCTCACAGGGAGCGATAAGTTGGGAGTGAAAAACGCTTGTTCAACCCCGGTGCGCGCATGCAGTGAGATTGCTGCTTGCTATAACTACGGCAGGATGTGTAGACGGTGAACGAACGCGCGCGGAGGCTGGACGCTTGATTTACTTCGCAGTACCTTAGCGCGAATGTATTGTTTTTTTGTGTGTGATAAATTGGGTTGTACAATGACGGAAAAAACACCTGGCTCAACTGGCTGTGGGGTCTCGTGAAAAAGCACGGGGGGAGCTGTCCACGCTACCCGAGCTTGGGTGTATTTTTTGTGGAAAAGGGGGCCGTTGGGGGCCGTATATAATGTACAGCAGCAGCAGTATGGAGTTCGATGATGTTAAGGACTGTCAACGTGGAGGATTCATTTTGTGGCGGGGCCACGCTGATTGTCTTCGTCCACGTGTACGTGCGCTATTTAGTAGAGCTCTTGCAAGACGAGCGGATGGATGCGAAGAGCGAGCACGCGAAAACAGGGAAATCTGGGCACCTAAACGGGTTGTGTTGGAAGATTGGTCCTGTTGCTTGCGCGATTTTCTTGCCGACTGTTGTTGTGAATCCACAACCTCGGTTTTCTGGGTTAGTCAATTCGGGTCGACTGAAAAAGAAAGGTGTTTTTTCTAGGGTAGTTCTCTGGAGCCACTTGCTTGTTGCGGTCGCTCACGAAAACAGGTTCTGCCGGTCATGGTGGCGGGGGATAAGCTTTCCAAGTATTTCGAGTTTCGAGAGCTGCAACCGGAAAAAATAGTAAAAAATAGTAAAAAAAGAAGACACCGAAGGCGTTCTTCCATGTCGTGCAAGCAAGACTGGATGCTTCGCTTTAGAAGCGCGCGAAAGCCATCTCTCGGCTAGTGTAGGCACACGCTAGAGGGTGGATGCTGAGGAGCCTCTATGTGAGCTCTTTCTCTGGTGCATTTCCGCGTCCAGCACGAAGGACCAAGGGACATTGTCTTGCATCAACCTACCGGTCTGATGCACAGAGCGCTCCATAAAAATAGAATGGCGGTAGATACGCCTTGTTGAGGAACTTCTGCTTGTTCCGGGAGGGGAAAAAAACATTCGTTCAAACTCGAAATCGCGACGAAGGTGATGTGCAACCGCGGTGGCTAGCTGGTTGCGACAAGCACGAGCACACAGTTAATGTGCCTTGGTCACTCCAAACATCTTCCCCACAAGAATAATTTCCACTTTTCCACACTAACAACCTCTCAATGAGAACACACGCCGACTCACGTATGGTGCTCACTTACAGCGCTTCGTTTAGAGACAAGCCCACAAAAAGATAAGGTTCATGTTAAGAACCGTCATGAGAGAGAGAGAACATCTAGAGCGGTGTGGACCGATCTCCATCACCATGGTGGAGTCTCGGCCCGGGCCGGCGTTACACACCGACCAAGTACCATTGGCAAATCAAATTTATTTCAGCTGCGCCGGTGTCAACCAATAGGAAACATAGGATAGAGCAAAAGATCCACTCGCTCATTAATTAATGACCCTTTCATCTGTCGGTGGCAATCCAAACGGAACTCTATGAAAAGCCACACACGACTGCTATCGTTACAACCACCACCTGGCCGGGATAGGTCTCGAGAGAACGTTTCTGCTCTGCTTCTATTTAGCGCGAACAACACGCTTGGCATTTCCTTCCGGGACCAAATACTCCACTAAAGCACTGTGTTTGCGGCGTAACCTATCCATCTAGATATATCTATCTATTCTTGCAGGACACACATCATTGTCCACACTCGGGGATACTTGAGCCACCAGCCACAAGCATACGGCTATCGCAGCTTCAGCCCGCCTGTTGCTCTTAACAAGCAAGCGTACAAATTTCACCGTTTCCACGGGCACTAACATCTACTCTGTCAGAGGGGGGGCTGCTTTCCCATGTCCCGTGTTGTCCACTTTCACTCTTTTACCAATATTTCACAGCTGCTGCCTTCACCATTCGAAATCCCTTCAACGGGCAGCGGCGTTGACCACACCTCTCCGCTAGAGATGTTGCCACGCGGCAGCTCTCCGTTACCCACGTTAAACACCGCTGGTGCTACAGAAATCGCAGCTCTATCTGCGTCCGTTGCTGAACGCACTTCAGCGATCACCACGTCTCCACTTGGGGCGTTGTCCCCGCTAACGATCGTGTCGCTTCTCCCCACCGCGGTCGCCGGCTCTCCCACGCCCGCCCCCGTGTCGGCGACTGCTACGCTAGTCGCGTCTTCGACCGCTGCTGCGCCGCAATCTCCCGCCTCTCCGCCGATCGCACTTGCCACTGCCGTCGGCCCGCTATTCGTCACCTCCACACCCCCTCCGCGTGAAATCGATCCCTCCACCTGACCAGCAATCCCCCCGTTGGCAATCTCTCCGTCGAGAAAGCTGGTGTCGGGTTCTTCGCGAGAATCTGACGACGACGCGGGCGGAACTTCCGCCCGTTCTGCAAGCGCCCCGCATTCTTCCCTGGGCGCCTCGCGTGCTGGTGTTGGCGAGGGGTCTTCCTTTTCCGCCGTCGCGCCTGCCAACTCTCCTCGGCCAGGCACGACCTCGCCGCCACCACCCTCTGCCATGAGCACGTCGTCGTGCTGTACGTCTCCGCTAGGCCCTCGCAGATCCTTGACGTCTCTCCCATCCGGGCCCGCCTTCTCACCATCAGCATGGGCATGGGGTACCGCTCCCGAGATCACCACTGCGGGGACCCCGGCAGACTGCTCCCGTGAAATCACCGCGAGTTTCTCGTGCTTGGCAGGCAACGCCACCCTGGAGTGAAGAGTTCCACTCTTCTCCTCCGCAGGCATCCTGCCTGGTCCCGCAGCCGAGGGCTCTCCCTTCTTTCCGAACACCGCCCGGCGATCGAAGAAGAGGGCCCAAGCGTACGCCAACAACGCCGCCATGGTTAACGCTTTGACCAACGAGCCCCACTCCCCGCCGCCGCCCCCTGCCGCCGCCCTTGCCGCCGCCGCCAGCGTGTCACCTTCCTCGCTGCTGTCACCCGTTGGCAACAAAAAGGCGCACGGCTTGTCCGCTGAAACGAGCGGCACCGCCAAGGACGAAGGGAAGAGACGCGCGGGGCGGGGTTCGAACGGGAGGGGTGTGTTCAAGGCGGAGAGGCAAGAGCGTCCGTCGAGATAAACCGGCGACAGCGCTGCAACCGTAGTTTATATGTTGTGTACACTAGGTGGTCCTCGTCAGAAGCCTTTCCGGCAGAGCTGCTGCCGGAGGGCGAAAAGAAAAGCGGCGGAAGGAAAGCGAGATGACACGTTCCAGACCCCGTGAGGTCGAGCAAGTCAGGCTCGCAACAAAAAGGAGACGCTTCGAGACCCACAACAAGGGCACACACGGAAGCGACCCAGCTGCCCATCGAAAGGTACGAGTTGCTACGGCTGTCGGTACGGGATGTTGTGCCTCACAGAAGTCGCTTGAATTCCTCGCGCAAGGGTTCGATACCACGCAGAGCCGATAATGCCGGCAATGGTCGCGACGAAAAGGGCTGCGCCACCACAATCATGCCTGAGCCATGAAACAGGAAACCCCCATCGCGCCATCAGAGATCATTACAGCAGTTACCTCACTGCGCGGTAGGTTACTTAGTCGTACCGGCAAGAAAAATGCAACCCATCAATTTTCAGGGTGTCTGGAAAGCCCGCGGCGAGAAGAAACACCCCCAACGTCCATAGGTCGACCCGCCTGTAGCTGATGTGCAGAGCAGCGTTTTCAAAATCGCGCAACGACAGTCAGAAGCTGCCCATCCTCGCCAAGCCCCTTCATAATGGGGAATCTACCTTGCTCTCAGTCGTGTAGGGGGAATCATGGTCTGATCCGCGCAGTCCGAGGCTTTCTACTGTTTGCCTTGGATGTTAGACCATTGGCCACTTGTGTGTAGTGGGGGGGCTAGACGATGAGGTGCTGTAGGAAAGCACAGTAGTGCAGACGCGTCAGACACCTCAACGTGCGGCGAGTGGCCACGAGGGTACGAAAAAGGACGTCGCTGGTGCAGCACGCAGCACGAAAAAACATGAACTGGGCGCATTGGTTGGGTACAACTACAACCGTGTGTATTCCCGGGATCTTTACCGCCACCTAAATCAACCACGCGAAGGCGCATCACAGACTCGGCGCGTTCCAGTTATTTGATTGCCCCCGCAACAAAAAAATGCTACCCCCCCCCCCCCCCCCCCCCCCCGGGAGG